CTTAGGTTCTTCATCTGTAAAATGGGGATATTAACAGCACCTACCTCTCAGGGTTTTGTAAGAATAAAATGAGATAAAGAGCTTTACAAACTGTAAAGTACTTATATAAATGCTATTATTATTAAAATATAAACCCTTTGAGGGCAGGGACTAATTTTTATCTTTGCATCTTCATCACCTGCATCACCCATAATAGATAATATTTTTGACTGACTTCCTCTAGGTCATATAGCTGACAGGTGTGATTTGATTCTGGGTCTCCCTAACTCGGAGGCAAGACTGTATCCATTATGCCATGATGTCTCTACTAATATATCCAGAGATGACTATCAACACTAATATGAAATAAAGTATTTCCCTTAGGTGCCAGCTCACCCTAATTTATCCTAGTGAATTGAATAGAGGCCCTTAGCAAATGTTTACTGAATGAAGAAACATTGAATTTAATAGCTCTGGAAGTTTCTCAATGACACCTACTTTGACAGGATATTCAAGTAAGAGAAAAAGGGGTGGGGGGAGCAATTTGTTTGAACTCAGATTTAAACCTAGATTAAATGGCAAATGATATTTTCCTGAAATAGGTCTTTCCCAGTAATAGGGATGTGAGGCTCATTACTGGGTCTGATCAAGCAAGCACTGCATTTTCTAGTACCAAAAATGTGACCTCTTCAGCTTCTGTAATGGTAGAGAAATCATTAAAGCTGAAAACAAAAATATTCCTAATGAAATGTTAGAAAATGCCCTGAAAAGGCTGCAGTCTCATGACTTTGTAGAACAGGGTTATTAACCATTTGTGTATGTGCTTTGGCAGTCTGGTGAAACCTTTGGCCTCTTTCTCAAAATGTTTTAAAATGGATAAAATGCATAGTATTACAAAGGAAGTCAATCATATTGAAATGTATTTATCAAGATGCATTTTTAAAAGTTCATAGACTCCAGGTTAAGAAACACTGCAGTGTAGAAGATAAAAGCTGATTTTTGTGAAATAATGATATATCCGGGGTTTCATGATTTACCTTCAACTGCCTTAAAGGTAGTTGAATAATGTTTTTTTTAAGAGAGTAAAAATCCTGAGGCCCTTGGAGTTCTCTCCATTGGAATAGTGGTTATATTCATCATATTCATTTCTAGAACCTCTGTCTCTTTGTCTCTCTCTCTCTGTGTCTCTCTCTTTCTCTCCTCTCCTTAACTCTCCTACTCTTGTCTTCTCTCCCCCTTTCTGCTCCTCTCCTCTCTCCCCTTCTCCTTCTCCTTCTGTCTCTGTTTTTGTGTCTATCTCTGTCTCTGTCTGTCTCTCTCACTCTCACTGTCTCTCTTTTTCTATATTCCTCTCCCCTTCCTCTCTTTCTCTCCCTGTCTGCAAGATGTTTAGCTATTCTAATAGGTAAAATGCATAAATAAAAAAAAGTAGCATCACACTAGATAAGAAACTATACTGGCTGAAGGAATAACTCATCAAGTCTTTGATATACAAATGGTTTATCTTGGTTTAACTTTAATAATGCAAGAAATCTGGGTTTCCATTTTCCATATATAATAACTGTTCCTTTTTCTATTTCAAAGAAGTTGACAAATGGAAGGTGTTTTTTTTTTTCTTTCATAAATGTCCTTTGAGTATCGAAAATGTCATGGACTTAGCACGTACATCAAGGATATATGGAATATGCTCCAAAATGATCATTATTTTGTTTTGCAAAAGATTCTCAAATTATAGAGAATCTATTAAATTCAACATCATCCACTCATTTATTCTTGTACTTTTTTTTTGGTGGAGGCAGAATAAGACCTATGATTTCATTGATGTAGGGAAATCACTGATATAGAAACTCCCTCCCCCAGTGCAGGTACAGACTTTTTAAAAAATCAAATTCATCTCTAATTTTTAGTTTTAGAAGTACATGGAGAAATTAAGCAATTTGAGAATGGTTACAGTCAAAGGACTTGAAACCAAATCTTATGATTTCAAAGTCTTCTACCTGCTGTGCCCCCTGCCTCTCTGAGTGTTTTTACATAGGGCACTATAATTTTCATATTAATCAAACTTTGTCTTTATTATATCATTTTCTAGAATGACTTCCTTCTCTTTAACTAGTATGTCAATCATTTTAATGATCGTCAAGGCTTTTTTTAAATAAATTCTTCCTTCTCAATTTCCTTAGCCACATTTTAAGTAACTCAAGTGGATCTAGTATAGATAAAATATTCTGTAATGATGAGATATGTGCTGGCTGGTTAAGAAAATTTAGAGTTGCCACTCGCTTTTAGGGAAAAAACAGACAAGAAGAATCTAGAAATCTTATAATTTTTAAACTGTTTAAATATTTTTGTAAATAAATATAGCTGACAGTAATTTCAACTGCTAACAAAAGAAGAGTTTGGATACAAAAAATGAGTAATTCAAGATATGGATTAAATGTTCCTAAAGACTGTGAATTATTTTAAATTACTCGGTAGGTAGACAATTATCTTGCATTCTCTACTATTACTAACCATGGATTCAACAAATTCAAAAATTCCAATAAAACTACCGTCAAGAAGACACTTGTATTTAGAAGCACATCGAGCTAAATATCCTAGAAATTGTTTCATATTATATAAATTTATCAAGCCTTAATTAATATTTTAATTAACTATTGCAGGTTTTTTTAAAGGCTCTTGAAAAATACCTTATATTCATTAAATGATTTTATCTTGGAAATTCAATTCGGCTTTTATAAAGGTCTTCCACTAAAGACTTACTTCAACATATCTTTGTGTGGTAGAGGTGAACCCTCCGTTCTTGAAGGCTTTGACAGTGAAGTACAAGGCTTTTTAGCATCCTGCCAAGCTGGAAAAGCTTTGAGTATAAATCAAGTGAGAGACTATTATATTGTCCTAGGACAGGCATGACCAAGCTTAGAAGCCCATCAGCACATTAACTGCCGCCATAGTAACTCTTAAAAACCATTTACTAAAGTCAAGTCATAGAAGACTCATGAGAACTGACATTGACTTAGACAATATATTTAAACCATTCTTTCAGTCTTTGAGCACTACATAAATGGCAGCTATTGTTATTGTGATCAGTGACAGTAGACAGATTACTGAAACTGATGGAATTCCAAATCTTTGAAGTACTGACATTCTATGAAGCCACAAAAAATAAAGTCAACTATATTAAATGTTCTGGTTCATAAGGGACCATCCACACAGGTATATATATATACACATGCACACATATTTGTGTGTATGTATGTATATATGTGTTTATCAACATGAATTACCTATTTTCAAAATTTTGGAAAACTGTAAAAGAGACATTGAAATGATGCCAATCATAACTACACAATTCTTCAAATGATTTAGAAAGCCTATCAGAATCTGCAATGTCTCAGAATCATCATCATAAATTGTCCCTGCATACTGGATATCAGGAAATGCTGGTTCATAGAAAGTTCTACCTGTCAAATTAGGAATAAAAAATAATTTCCTGTACTAAGATTAAAAAATAAGCAAAATCAAAACAGATTTTTTTAACAATTAAAATTTAACTAAACAGACCCAAACTTGACTAACCATGTTACAGCTCTACATCAAAATGACCATGAAATACAAATTTGGAGAATAATGAAATTAACTACAAAGACACATTTTATTTTTTGGCTAGGCAATGGGGTTAAGTGACTTGCCCAGGGTCACACAGCTAGTAAGTGTTATGTGTTTGAGGCCAGATTTGAACTCAGATCCTCCTGAATCCAGGGCTGGTGCTCTATTCACTGTGCCACCTAGCTGCCCCTACAAAGACACATTTACCATTAAGGATGACAATTTCTTCCTCTACAAAATGTTATGTTCCATTTATAGCTTTATGTGTGTATGTTATGCAAAATCTGTCACATTAATAAGTTAAATTCACAAAAGTTTTTTGAACAAAATTTAAAATTTTGCATTTGCTAATTTCAAAGTAAAAACTTTGCACAGTAATATATTTATTTAAAATTCACAAAGAAGAATGACCCATGAAAAAGCATATTCTATATGTATTACTAGGAAAAAGAATTATGCATTTATCATAAAATAGTGACAAGATTTAGGATTAGTTATGGTTAGTGAGATCATTGTCTTTAAGAAAATGTGACTCAATTGGCATCATACTTACAACAACCTATATTTTTGTCAAAATATTTATTTCATAATATTATGGTTAATTTTTCTTAACCTACTTTTCTGAAAATATTTAGAATGCATACTATGTACTTATGATAGCTGATGATACGACTAATTAAAATACATTTTAATTATTCCAGTTTTCTTCCAAAATATTTAGGAGTATTTCTCTTTTATCTAAATCCTAACACTAATGATGAAAATGAATAGCACTTCAAATGTTACTGTTTCTGGCTCAAACAAACCACACTACACGTGTGCCACTTTCTTGGCATGGGAGTGGCAACCATCCTCTTCATTTTACAGATGAGAATAGTAAAGCAAAGGAAATGAGTAAATCAAAGGTGGATTTATATAGGTCACATTAGAATGTAGTCTTACTCACGATTAGTTACTTTTCCACTTGACCAGACAAATGTTATTTTAGGGCTATTTAAGTTTTCTAATTTAGATTATTTTAATGTGAATGAATTTAAATTGGGAACTTAATTTTTTTCTCTTTTCTTCCTTTTTGTCTATTTCCAAGGAGCAATAATATATACAAGATAATTTAACAGAAAAAGACCACAAAATGTTCAACCATTAAAGTATGTTACATTTGTATTTGAACCATTTATATTGTTTAAAATATATTTCATTATATTCTTTTCCATTTTCTATTTATACCAATTTATCACATATGTCCTATAAATACACATCAACGAACTCTCTAATAATCAAATGGAGCGTTCTTCCAACTTAGCTTTTCAGTTTATGTATATGAATATATATGAATATGAATATATATGAATATATGATATGTATAATATATGTGAATATATAAATATGAATCAATTTATGTATATGAGTAGAAGAATTATGAATTCCTGAAGAGAGAGACTGGATTGGTCAGTCCTGTAATTATGGTAATAGCCAATAGCACATAATTTGGGGTTGCATGCCTTTGCACAACAAAATTTAGAGCTTTATAAACTAAATCTATGTACAAATATGACATTTTTATGGGCATCCCTTCATGATCCTCTATCTTATACAATCAATTCTAAGGTGATTGCAGCAATAACAAAAATCTAGACTTCCATTACAATTTCCTTTTACATAGCCTTTCATTCATTTAATATTTTCAGCATATTCAATACAAGTTGCACTGTTTTATTTACTGAAAATTCATTGAAGATTTATTCAGGAGGTAGGAGAAGGAAACTGGAGAGGAAGAGATATAGAAAGAAGAGCAGAAGAGAAAGCCTGAAATAATTGACAACAGAGACATTCATATGCATTTCTTTCTAGATGGAATTTTCCCATTGACAATGATAAAAATGAACTCCAGACCATCTCCGCTGTGTTCAACAAAACGACAAGCAGTACAGTTGCTTCAGCGTCTCACACCCACCCACAAACACAGCCCTTGTTCTAGAAATATTCCCCTTCCCAGACACAATATCTTTTGAAGAACTACGTGTATGAGAATTGAGAGAAGTCTCAGAAAAATAAGATATTTCATACTACCTCACATTAAATTTGTCTCCCATGTGAAATTTTCAGTGTGGGCAAACTTTCATTTGTGCGCTTTTCAAAACTAAATCCCCCAAGAATTCCTTAAGATAGTAATGAAATCTTCATCATCTGATATTCCAAAACTTAGTCCTTCATAGTAATCTTCAAATTCACAGTATGACACTTCATGGGGGTGACTACAGGCATTCTCTAGGGTTTCTATAAATGAAGATTTAATTTCTTCCTCCGTTGCATGACCTGCAAAACAGGATTGGCTATAAAACAATCTTCTGAAGAATTGAATAAAAGGTATTAGCTCTATTAAAAAATTACTTAATCAGTTTATGAAATCACACTGTTAATAGCTTGAGATTATACATTAAACTACTGTCCAATTTATTCCAATATCTTCCCCATGAACTAGAATTTATTGGTGATTGAAGGCTGCAGGGGAAACACAGGGAAGAAAATTCATAAGTGAAGTTTATCAGTAAATATTTTAAGGGCTATTCAAAAGCTTTTAGTAAAGTTATTACTCATTACATAGAGGTAAAATAATATTAACTATATCCTTGGTTGGGTTTTTTGGGAGGTGGGGGTATAAGGGATACTCCATTTCAATTGTAAATGAAAGAAGAAATGTCTGAAAAGTTCCAACGATTTATAGACTTTTCAGAACAGCACGATCCATTGTGTAATGGATATCTGCAGACATTATTAAACTATTTATTCAAAAGACAACTGAAAAGCTTTGTGGAAATAGAAAACAAGTACTAATGTACATTTTACAAGTTTAGGAAATTCTTAATTGAATGAGCTTTTGCTTGGTTAAGATTGTATTCAATAGTAATCTACGAATAAAGACTGTTTACGCTTTAGAGTGAGGAACCTTCTGCCACTGAGAGTCACTGAGCCATATTCGCAAAGAAAAGTGATAGACAAAAAAAATACATTCTACACATATTAGAGGGGAGGAAGGAAGCAATCAAGAGACACATACACAGAAAAAAAAAAAAACTGGTCTAAGTTCTTGTGTTATAGAAAGACAATTTTCCATTTATCTGGATTTTTTTACATTAAGTAAACACAAAACATTAGACTATAGTTAATGAATGAAACAAATATTTATGACTCTATTTCAGTTGTGTATTACAGTTAAGGGAGAAAGAGGAGGAGCGGATAAGGGAAGGGGAAGTAAAAATGAGGGTTTTGGAAGAGAAAATATACAGCCCAGGTGGTAAGAGAGAAAGAAATGAAGAGAGAAAGACAAAGAAAGAATCAGAGAAAAAAGAGACACAGAGAGAGAGAGAAAATGTGAAAGATGAAGAAAGAGGTTTGGTATATATGACAGAGAGAGAGAGAATACCTGGAATCCCAGGATATTGGTCTAATCACTTTGACAAAGAGAGGGAAACAGTCTGTTAAAGCTGAAAGAGTCCAGGACACGGGATCAGATGACCTGGGGGTTTAAATCTGCAACTTGGTGTGACGTCAAATAAATCACTTAAGCCCTCTGGGACTCAAGTTTCCTCCTCTGTAAAATGAAGAAATTGAACTCAAGCACCTAAAAGGCCCCTTCCAGCTCTAGGTCTACGATGGTGCAAGTCTCTCTAAACCTCAGTTTCTTCATTTTAAAATGAAAATAATAACAGCACCTACCTACCAAGGTAGTTGAGCAGATATATTGAGATAATATTTGTAAAGCACATTGCAAACCTTAAAACCTACATAAATGCTAACTTTTACAAACCATAAAATAACTTATGTTTGATATATCCCTATTACAAGCTCAGTTTATTCAAATAGAATGACGAAGCCACAAATACTTTACTATATTTTTAAGCTAATATAGTCTAAATAGTTAATCAAATGCTGACGATATTAGAAAGCTGGACAAAAAGGATTGTAGTACCATAGATACAGAGTTGGAAGGAACCCTAGAGAGTTCAATCTCTTCTTTTTATAGATGAGGGACCTGAGACACAGGGAGATTAAGTGACTTCCCTAAGGTCACAGAGACAGTAAGGTGGCAGGGCCGAGTTTCCAACCCTACTTGCATAATTCCAACTTTTCCAACTACAATAGAATGCCACAAATGTTAAGTTTGTGTGTGTATTTTAAAAGGAATATACATACTGGGTAGTTTTTTTTTTTAAACGTCTGTGTCTTAATATAATAATGAAACAAAAGGATGAAAATTTTTTTTCTTAAATTAGTTCCACCTGCTAGGGTGTGTAACAAATAAATCTTTTAGTAATGTTACTTAGTTTCAAGCACTTTCTTCCAAACTACAATTTATAGAAGAATCTCATAATTTTAATTTTCAAATTTAGAAAGAAGGTTTGCCTTTTCTCACCTGCAACTGAGATCAGGTTTTTCTGATCTGTCTTGGAGACCAGCAAATTTCTGATAAATGAGTATCTTATTCTGCCAATAATGTTTTCCAATGCCATTAAGCAGAAATTTATTTTGGAAATCTGATTTCTATTATACCCTACAATGGTTTGTTTTTTTTCTTTGAAGGGATATTTAAGTCAAAGAATACCAGATGGTTTCCTAGAATCTAAGTGAAAATGTTGTATAAAAGCTTTAATTTGTAAATGACTATTAACTATGAACAATTCATATACCAGAAAAATCTATGAGTAGATTACTATTGATAAGATATGAGATGAAAAGTTTCATTTTGCATTTTTCCCAGTTTTAAGATACAATAACAGTAAAGTCCAATGCATGCTTTTTCACGTATTGAAGAGAAAAAGGGAAAGAAAGTATTTTTTCCTAACTGACAGCTTACAGACATCCAAAAATATCATAATTATGAGCCAAGTTTTAAAGGAGGTACATTTTGAAAGAAAGCCAAAATGTTTGAATCACCTATCTGAATTAAGAACAAGAAAAGATAATAAATTAAAAAAAAAAACAAGTTATTTTCACCATTCAAGTCTGTGGCCAACAAAGAAAGATACCAAGACATGACCTCTCGGGAGGAGGAAGAAAGAAATGGATAAATGGGGAGAAAGGATACAAGGTGTAGACATGGTAGGATAGACTGCTGAAGGCAGCAACTGGCTCATTTAGTTCTGAAAGGAGAAGGTTGAACAATCCAACTTAGATTAGAACAGGGACAAAAAGCTGAAGGCCAGAATCAAATGATGTAATTTGATGAATAACTTATGTATGAAAGAACTTTGCCAACTTTAAACTACTACATTAATACTTTAATACTAGCTTACAGCATAATTCAAAGTCATGACTTTGGACATAACCATGATGCAAGCATTGGATGCCATCATCCCTCTCTACTACCACATGGTTTAACCTTTTTGGTCCCAGAGAGTAGAAGTGGCTCTCAATTAGGAACAAAATGACATCGCTACGTTGGGCTTCCGACCATTCAGACTAATAAGAGCTCAGAAGGTTCACAAAAAGGTCAACGTAGGATAATAAGATGAATGGAAGCAGATGTTTTTTTTCCCAATGGAAGGAAAAACATCTTGACAATTAAAGATTTCCAAGAGTGAAAGCAGAGACTATATAACCATTTGTTGGAGCTGTTAAAGAGTAGACTCTGTTTCTGATATAGGTTGGGATAGATGACCCATCAGATCTCTTCTAATCCTGACATTCCAGGGTAATAAACTACAGCAATCTCCATGAGCGGAAAAAAAATTAGGTTAATTTTTTTTCATCACATCCTAATGTTCATTCACATGGGCTATAGACAGATTCAGTTAAGTAGTGGAGTAGATATAACACTGAGCCTAAAGTCAAAAAACATATAAGATTAAATATAGCCTCAGATACTAATGTCTCAAGTCCTTGAACGCAGTTCTGGTAACAGACTAAATCTGTTTTCCAAGGACCAGCCTAGCTAGTGACACAGAGGCCCATCACCAGTAGACTAGATACCTAGTGATGAATTCTTTTGGCCAAGGGAACCCACGAAAGAAAGAAAAAAAAATTAAATGATGGTAAGTGCTATGTGGCCCCTTCGGCTTCTGCAGTGATAGTAGCAGAGTGTTGGGAAATGGCCCAGATGGTGCTTAGAATCACATCATTTTTAGATTGCCTATAAACTTCAATTTGATTATTGATACTCTGGATGAGAGATTCTTGTTCAATCACCAATGAATGGAAATATTAGTAGAAGAGCTAATTCATATCAATCTTGACATTCTTGCTATAAACCAAGGTTTCTTAATTTGGAGCTCATAGAGTCTCACTATTCCACCCCTTCAAAGGATTCATGGATAGATATCAGCGTCCATGAACATGTAAGAAGAACAAAAAAATGACATCTTTTTTCACTAACCTGTAACGAAAATTTAGCATTCCTTCATTTATGAATGTAGGTAACAAATGTTCTCATAGGGAGTCCATAGATTTTACCGACTGCTAAAAGGATCCAAGATATACAAAAGGATTAAGAACCCTTGTCATAGACGAAACTAAAAGAAAGAGAAGGTTCAGCTGAGGATGGCTCACAAGAACTCCTTGAAGAAGCAAAGAAAGGAGTTGGTAATGACATTTGGTCCTTATCACATACTTCAGTATTAATTATAAATATTTATTAAAAAAAAAAACTATGGTAAAAATAATTGCAGCTTATACACCAACATCAGTTGCTGAAAATAAAATGGTAGAAAAATTCTTAGAGAAAACTTGGCAATACTCACCAAAATCAAATTAAAATCCACTGCTAATTGGTTACTTCAGTGCAAATGTGGGAAAGAAGGATGAGGAAACTATATATGGTAAAATGTGCTTGAAGAGAAAGAAATGAGAGAGGCCAAAGATTTGTAGATTATACAGAACCTTCGCTTATCTATGTCACAAACATTTTCTTCAAAAAACACAAGTGAGTAGTATTGAACACGCTGAGCTTCAGATAATACCACAAAGAATGAAATTGTCTACAGTTGATCAGACGTAGTAAATTCGATGCACAGTGAAGGAAGAGAAGAGCAATTGGCCACAGTAATGCACATGGAAGTAAAGGAAACACAAGAATTAAAAAAGGATTGCAGTCTGGGGCCATTTAGTATAGGACCTACTAGCCCTGCATAGCTCATTAACTATACCCTAAAGAAAATCAGTGCGTAGTAAAATAACTGATGTTCCTAATGATGACCAAATGGATGGTTCAAATACTGACTCGGTCATTACCTATAGGACCTTGGGCAAGTGACTATGTCCCTGGGCCTCAGTTTCCTTATACATAAAAGGAGGATTTTAGATTAGATAACATCTAAGTTGAGGATTCCTAACCTGGGCCTAGTAACTAGTTGGTTTTGCTTGTTTGTTTTACTATTTCAATACAATTGGCACATAGAATTACCCTGTAATCCTAAGTGTTTTATTCTATACATTTGAAAAAAAAAACATTATTCTGAAAAGGGGTACATAGGTTTCCTAAAACTGTCAAAGGGATCCAGGACATAAAAGGCTAATAACTCTGCTATAGGTCTTTAAAGTTATATAACTTTATCCTACGACCAAGGTCATTAGGATAATGTTAAAAAGCTACAGTTACATTTGGTGTTTAATGAGGCAGAGATTTATATATTTTATAAAGCTTTCTGTCCAAAATGCAAAAAAAAATGAGAAGACGATTAATTAAAAGAATAAGCTTCTGTTATCTGGAAAATTCATTTATTTAAAACATTTCATTCCCTGGTGATACTAAATTAATAAGGCATTACTATATAATGATCTTAGGAAAGCCAATTTTACAGAAGACTGTAAGAGTTATATATCTTACATTTGTGAACTGTATCTATAATCTGCTTCACTTTGCCCAAGACATTCTGGGCCAATTCTAAGAGGACTTATGTGTCTGGGTAAGAAATCACTTGTTCAACCTGCCCTCTCCTCATCTGCAAGGGACTACTTCAGTTCCTTTGAGGCTGCTCCAGTCTGCTCTGATCTATTCATATTAAGTACAGGGAGGCTACTTTTCTATGCGGGAGTTCTATATTTTTTTCTATGGTGGGTAATTAGTTATAGCAGCAAAGAAATGGGGTGGGGGGTCAATAAAAGGAAGCTTAGTTGTCTCCAAGGACTCTTCAACAGAAATCTCTAAAAATCTGCCCCCATCAGTCTCTCCTTCTTCTGTCAAGCTGTATCACTCATACTTTGGGTGCTTAAATCTCTACTGCCTCTGGGAAAGAAAAGTTTTAATAAATATGCCTTTGCCAATATTCCTTTTCCTCATTTGTCCCAAACCTGGATAATTCAAATTAACAAGTCATGTAACAGGAAAATTAGGTGTTTTTTGTTTAAAGACTCCTAAGAAAACTTCCCTGTTCTTGGTGCCTTTGAGGGACATTTTCACCACAAGTAAGTCCTTGAAAAGACTTCATTTTAATGAGGTAGCCCTGGTAGCCTCACAATGCATAGTAATTTCCTAGATTAGAAGATTCCAAGAAGAGGAAGAGGGGCTTAAGGGGTACTGTTCTCTCTCTCCGTCCTTATCTCTCATCCAATCTTTAAGCCAAACCACTTTTTTAAGAAACAACAAGGACCTCTACTCATTTAGGGACCAGATGCCAAGTCAAGATGGTTGATGGTCCAAGACCAAAGGACCTTAAAACCTTCTCAGTGTTTTCCAAAAAAGCCAATACATATTTTCACCTAAAGTGTCATCATCTTTGCACTTAAGTCAATCAAAATGTCAAAGACCAAAGACAATTTGGTAATAAGATAAATTACCTTACATCAAATTTCAGGTTGCAAGTAAACAAAAGTGATGTGGCTTGAAATAGGACAATGAGAAAATGGGATCATAATTTGCTTTAAACCTCTTTACTCAGTTTTGTAGCTTGTAACCTCATGTTTCAAAGCATGATCCAAACCAGTTCTAAGTCTGGGATTAATAGAGGAATCCAAAATAATGACAGTAACTCTCGTTTGAAGAATGAAAAAGAGGAGACTTACAACCTGTGTGTTAAAACTGTCATATAACTAGAGCTACTCATTTGAAGGAAATTTGAGTGATTGTACACATGCATTTGTATAAGTGACCGTTCTTTCTTTTCCATCTGATCCTTAAATATTAAGGTAGAGAGAAGCATTTATCTGTGTGTGCCCAACTTTACTGTCTACTTTGTTTTTACTTATCTAATTTTCTGACTAGCTAGTTCCTCAGCACAAAATAAAAGATTTTGGACTAAGCAGATTCTGGAATAAAAGATTCTAAATAAAAGAAAGGCAACAAATGTCATTTTCAGAGAATTTCAGAAACAGAATGGGCAAACATAGCCTCTTTAACCAACAATGAATTACAACAAATTTAAAAACATAGCTATACACAACAACCTAGAAGCCAGATGTATTTGGGCTTATATCACTTACCTGATATCACATGAGGGTGTTTCTTTGCACAATAGCATTTGCTGATATCTACCATGCTCACACTGCCAGTTTTGGTGAAGTCTAATTTCATATAGGCCTAAATAAAGAGAGAAGGCTACCAATTAGCACAAAATGGCTGGAAATAGTAAGTAAATTATCTTGTCTTTGCTTCAGACAAGACATTCCTGAAGTACCGAAATGGCATTTAGGGGAGGGGGCATGGTGGGTGCAGCAGGAAGAATCTTGTACTGAAAGTCAGGAAATCAACATGCCAGTCTGGGTTCTGCCTAACTGCACCTACTTACACTTTAGGAAAGTCTCCAAACCTCTGTGGACACTTCAGTTCCCTCATTTGTAAAAAGACAGAATAGGATTAATGTCTAAGATTCCTTGCAGATCTAAGATTCTATAAACTACGTAAATAGTTTATATAAATTTACCTGTAAGAGCTGTGTAATTAGAAAAATGAGATTGTAAATATTGTGTAAATTATTTAATGGCATCATTTTTTTTGTTGTTGTTGTTATTGACTTGTTTTAGTAGCGTTCAACTTTTTGTGTCCACATTTGGAGTTTTCTTGGCAAAGATACTGGAGTGGTTTGCCATTTCCTTCTCCAGCTCATTTGACAGATGAGGAAACAGAGGCAAACAGGATCACTCAGCTAGTAAGTGTCTGAGTTCAAATTTGAACTCATGTCTTCCTGACTCCAGGCTCAGCACTCTATCCACTGCACCACCTAGCTACCCACACAGTATCAATAATACTAGTTATTGTGCTCAACACAACTTTGAATAACAGAAGAGGTTTTAAGGATATCAGAAACCATCTTTCATCAGTTAGATAGGAAATGATAATATTCCCATTTTTCAAATAGCAAAATAAGCATCTAGACTTGCACAAGACACCTTCTCAGAAAAGCCACTACTAAAACTAAATTTTACAAATCACAATTGTGTCCTTTCTTCACTGCGCAGAGGAAGCTAGATGGTACAGTGGATGAAGTACTGGGTCTGGTGTCAGAAAGACCTGAATTCAAATCCAGCCTCAGACACTTACTAAGCTATATGACCCTTGGACAAGTCACGTAACCTCTGTCTATCTCAGTTTCCTCAACTGTCAAATAAGAGTAAGACTAGCATCTACCACACAGTGTTGTTATGAGGACAAAATGAGATAGTAATGCCTGCCACAGGGTAGGCCCTTAGTCAATACAAGTTCCCTTCCTACTCCTTCATTAAGAAATGCTACAATGTATCTTCTCAATCAACCCTGGGTCGAAGAAGGTCTAAGGAAACACTAGGAGAAGGAACAGAAAAAAAAGCAGAAGCAATAATCACCCTTGCTAGCCCTACTCCTGCTCCCAGATTGCAAGGTGAGGGAGCAGAATGGAGAATTTCAAACTCAGCAGTAGGAGGATGGGGTGTTAGTCTCCTGGGTAGCTATCATCCTACAAGTGGTGAATGGATGCACCATTCATCGTAAGTGTTTTCCTGGTCAATAGGGATATAGATTTTGTTTTTCAGCCTGGGATTAATATCCCATATAATTGCTCAGATAAGTACACTCTGGAAATGGCTACCAAAAATCACAGCATTGAACACAGTGCCCACTTCAGTCAGGGCTTGGTTGTACCTGTTAATTTCCCTACTTGAAGAAGACAAACAACCAATTCAACTCAATAGAGAAGAAAAAACAGTAACAGGAGGAAAAAGGCAATAAATCCAGAACGTAGTTGTCTGTCATCAATCCTTGGGCTATGGTAATCATAAAACAGCTTTCTGGAAAAAGTCATCTTTAGCAAGAATGAATCAGAGGTGATTTCCTAGAAAGGTGGTGGGAGGATTGATTCTCTAATAGGGATTGAAATAGCAGTTGAAGAGGCCAGAGTAAAGTTAAAGAACATAGAATCACAAAGGCCCAAATTAGAATCTCCTATTATTCAAAAGAGCAAAAATAACCAGGATTTTTAGAAAAGAGAAATGAACCTAAACTTGATCAACGCTAACTTCTATTATTAAAATGAAGCAAGAATTGTTCTTCAAGTAATTAAATGCGTGGGCATTATTTGCTCTTATCATACAGTTTTAAGGACTCTTGGAAATTATCTAGTGTAGGCCTAGACCTTTCAAATGACATGCCCAGGGCCACACAGAAATTAAAAGAACCAGGACTATAGCTAAGATTTTTTGACTTAAAATCCAGTATTCTTTTTCACCATATCAACAACTAATATGTAAATCAATTTCAAAATCTCTCTCTTTTTTAAGAGTATGTCTCCCTATCTCCCACGCAGGCTGGAAGTATAGCAGTCATTCCGGAGCCCAACTCTACTGCTAATTAGCCTGGAAGCTTGACCTGCAATGTTTCTAACCTGGGCCAGTACGCCCTTCCTTCAGCTGCCTGGTGCCCTCCTCCCTCTTCCAGAGGCTCACCATATGGGTGCCAAAGTTAGGACAAACAACCAATCAGCCATAGCCCTCAGAACTCCTGAGCTCAAGTGATCCACCACGCACAGATGCCCTAGTAAGCAGAGATTAAAAGCATGTGCCACCATGCCAAGGCCAAATTCCGCTAAGGGCATAAGGATGTTTAGCTTCTTTTTTAATATCTATCTTAAAGATTCTTGTAAGAAGTTCCATCACAATCCAAAAAGAAATAAGTAAAATATGTTAATTGATCAAAATACATAATAAGGAATCTAATTCTCTACTTGACAAAACTGTTTTAAAAGACTACTCAAAACAAACTTACTTTTTGAAGAAATGTCTTTCTGTATTCGTTCATTTCACCAAAAATGGCACGTCTGAATTCTCCAAAATCAACTTGATCATTACCGTTGATATCCAGAATTAACCACAAATCCTCAAAGTCCTACAAATTAAAATCAATAAGCTATTTAATTTAAAATCTATATGTAAAAAGTCATCACAACAAAATCTAACTAATTGCAGCTAGAGGTAAGCAAGTTATTTAGTTCCTATGGGATCAAGAGATATGAACAGTTTTCAGATGAAGTAATCAAAGCTATCTATAGCCATATGAAAAAAAAATGTTCTAACTCATTACTAATTGGAGAAACGCAAATTAAAACAATTCTGAGGTACTACCTCATAGCTATTAGATTGGTTAATAGGAGAGAAAAGAAAAATGACAAATGGTAAAGGGATGTGGGGAAAATGAGACATTAATGCACTGTTGGTGGAGTTGTGAACTGATTCAATCATTCTGTAGAGCAATTTGGAACTATGCCCAAAGTGCTGGAAAAACCATGCATACACTTTGGCCTAGCAATACCACTACTAGGTCTGTATCCCAAAAGAGATTAAAAAAACAAAAGGAAAAGGACCTATATGTACAGAAATCTCTATAGCAGCTCTTTTCTGTTGACAAAGAATTGGAAATTGAGGGGGATATTCATCCGTTGGGGAAAGGCTAAATAAGTTGTGGTATGTGGTATGTGATTATGATGGAATACTACTGTGCTATAAGAAATGATGAGCAGGATGCTCTCAGAAAAACCTGGAAAGACTTACATGAGCTGATGCAAAGTGAAATGTACTGTGTACAAAGTAACAGCAATTATTGTAAGATAATCAGCTGTGAATGACTTAGCTATTCTCAGCAATACAACAATCTAAGACAACTCTGAAGGACTTATAATGAAAAATGCTATCCATCCCCAGAAAAAGAACTGACAGTGTCTGAATACAGACTGAAGCATACTTCATTATACTTTCTTTATTTTTCTTGAGGATTTTTGTGGTCTGTGTTTTCTTTCACAACATGACTATTATGGGAATGTTTTGTATGACTATACATATATAACCTACACCAAATTGTTTGCTTTCTTAATGGTGGGGGGGGAGGAAGGGAAAGCATTTGGGACTCAAAGTTTTGAAAATTATTGTTAATAATTGTTTTTACATGTAACTGGGGGAAAATAAAATACTAAATAGATCTTATGGGGACCCTTTTAATTAAAAAAAAATCATTTTGTGATCCCAGTAACTATTTGCTACTTCAATTTATCTATTTTATAGCTAAAGTTTTATGCACAATAAACTCATTTTGATCTATGATAGTTAAGATACACAAGTACATTGGTTAATGGAGAATTTAAATAAATCTTAACTTTCATGCATATCTATTATCTATAATTTATGTGCAATGAGACTAATCATGAACTCTTTCTTCTCCCATGTGCCATGATTACAGCATGTCTAATTGGAGTATGCCAGGAACTGAGTTGGGCTCCCCTTGGCCACTTACAGTGGGCCACATGTACTCTGAACCGAGCTCTATGAATCTTTGAATGTTCTTGCCTGAGCACACGGGGGAGGGGTGATTCCTGATTATGCTTATCATGACCCAAAGAAATATCATTATGTCATCAACACTATATCTTGATAGATCCAATAACAAATAAAATAATAAATAAAAATAAAAAGATCCAATTTCAGTTGTGTAGAGATCAAAATTGGCAAAATTGTGTTCCTGGTTTTAATATAAAGTGTTTTGAAAATATGCTCAAATTCATCTTTTATATTGATTCTTCCACCTACATAACATTAAGGCTATCAGCTTTCAAAGAGCACAATAGCACACACCTATTAAAAGAGGATTCAATTATTTTCTCTGAAGACTTAGAAGGCATTTCAGCATCTTGCAGATATGTCACAGGATTATCAAATATCTTTGCACTAAAGACATGGAAGTGGATAAAGTGTAGATTGGAATAAGTTCTTACTGACCCTGGCATAGACACCAGAAAATAGCATTAAAAAGAAGCTGTGTGAAGGCAGCTGGGTGGCGCATTGGTTAGAGCACTGAGCCTGGATTCAGAAAGACTCTTCTTCCTAAATTCAAATCCATCCTCAGCCAGCTGTGTGACATTGGGCAAGTCACTTCACTCTGTTTGCCTCATTTTCTTCATCTTTAAAATAAGCTAGAGGGGGAAATAGCAAACTACTCTAGTATCTTTGCCAAGAAAACCCCAAATGGGGTCACAAAGAGCTGGACACAATTAAATGACCAAACAACAACATTATAAAGGGGCAGCTAGGTGATGCAGTGGATAGAGCTCTGGCTTTGGAGTCAGGAGGATCTGAATTAAAATCCAGCCTCAGAACCTTGATGCTTATTAGCTGTGTGACTCTGGGCAAGTCACTCAACCCGGATTGCCTCACCAGAAAGCAAAAACAAAAATAAAAACAAAAAAAGTGTAATATCAGGGGGTGGGCAGAAAGGAGAGAGAGAGACAGAGACAGAGAGAGAATATAAGCATTTATATAGCACCTACTATGTGGCAGATTACAAATATCTCACTTGATCCTCACAACAACCCTGTGAGGTGGGTCCTGTTATTAATTCCATTTTGCAGTTGAGGAAATTAAGACAACCAGAGGTTAAATGACTAGCCCAGGGTCATATAGCTATTAAGTGTCTGAGGCTGGATTTGAACTCAGGTCTTCCTGATTTTAGGCCCAATGCCCTATTTACTGCACCACCGAGTTGCCTGTTTATCAGTTTATTTCTCACTTATGCCATTCATATATTTACAATTTGTCAGTTAGTAGTGAATTCTGGTTAATTTAATGCAAGATAAATTTTTACTTTATGATTTTCTAGCACTTAGCAAGGTGTTTTGTACCTTGTTATCTTTCAGTCATTCAGTCATGTCTGACACTTCGTGAACCTGTGGTCCCTAGCACACCAATGCTCTCCATGGAGTTTTCTTGGCAAATATAGTGAAGTGATTTGCTTCCCCAGTGGATTAAGGCAAACAGAGATTAAGTTACTTACCCAGGGTTACACAGTTAGTGAGTGTCTGAGGATGGATTTGAATTCAGGTCTTCCTGACTCCAGGACCAGTACTCTATCCACTGAGCCACCTCGCTGCCTCCTAAGTACTTAAAAAATGCTTTTTCATTTATTTATAAAATGCAATCTCGGTTAAATTTCTCTGTTGAGTAAATTTTTCCTGTCAAATTCAAACCATAAATTGTACAAATCACAAGAAACATTGCAAAAAAAAAAAAATCCCTCAAGTTGTCTAGCCTTCCAAGAACTTCTCAGAACTCTCAAAAGTACAAATGCTTTCATCCACTGTAAAGTCCGGCTATCTCAGCTGGACCCTCACTGCTGTTTACCAAAACTTTTACTCAACTCTCACTGGTTCTCTTTCACGTCATTTAAAATGATTGTTCTGAAATTCTTCCTCCCCGCTTCAAACCCAACCCTCCTCTCGAGGATGACCTAACCTCCCACTTTCCTGAGAATATCAAAGCCATGTGATATTATAGAAGACAACTGCATCTGAATTCAAATCCCGATTCTTCTCCTTGTTACCATGGGCAAGCCAGTTCACCTCTACACCCCTCAGTTTTCTCATCTGTGAAATGAGGATATTAAACTAGATCAGGGGTAGGGAACCTGTGGCCTCGAGGCAGCATGTGGTTCTCTAGGTCCTCAAGTGCGGCCCTTTGACTGAATCCAAACTTCACCATGAGTTTAACCATGAAGGGGTCCCCACTCCTGGACTAGATAATATCTAAGGCCTCTTCCGGCCCTAAATCCTTTGATCCTATCATTTACCTTCTTTCACTCATCAGATATTTTTCTGCCTTCCCTTGCTATTTCTTCCTTTCCTTTTGCCTCAGATATTGTTACTCATTGTCAAATGACCAATGATTAAATGATAATCCCTGTAAAATGCTTAGCATAAGGCCTGGCACATAGTAGGCACTTAATAAATGCTTGTTACCTTTCGTTCCTCTTGCTAAGGCTAACACTTCCACAAACTCTTCCCTTCCTCCTCCAAGACTGTGCTCCATAAATCAATCCACCTCTTCATAATGATTCTTCAGTTTCTAATGTTTCACTGGCTCTTCCTTTACTTAAAATTCTACTCAAGCCTTATCTACACTTTAAAAAATTCTTTCCCTTTACTCTCTTTATTTGCCCCCTTGAATTCTTACCTATCACTTTATTCACTTACTCTGACAAACTTATCAAAAAACATTGACTAAAACCTACTTTCTCATCCTAGCAGGAAGCTAGGTGGTCCAGTAGATAGCATGCCAGGAAGACTCATCTTCCTGAATTCAAATCCAACCTCAGATATTTACTAGCTGTGTGACCCTGGGAAAGTCACTTCACCTTGTTTGCCTCAATTTCCTAATTTTTTTGGAGGGGGAGGCTAACAATGGGGTTAAGTGACTTGCCCAGGGTCACACAGCTAGTAAGTTTTATGTGTCTGAGGCCAGATTTGAACTCAGGTCCTCCTGAATCCAGGGCCACTGTTCTATCCACTGCGCCACCTAGATACTCCTAATTTCCTAATTTGTAAAATGAGCTAGAGAAGGAAATGGCAATGCACTCAAGTATCTTTGCCAAGAAAACCCCAAATGGGGTCACAAAGAGTTGTACAGGACTGAAAAATGGCCAAACAACAACTTATCTGTACTTTAAAACATTCCTTCTCTTTACTCTCTTCTTTGTCCCCTAGAACTCTTACCTATGTCTTTATTCTCTTACATTGACAAGTTTATGAAGAGTTGACTCCACCTACTGTCCCACTACCTGCTCAATTCTAAGTTACCTGCAACCAGTCCTCCACATCCACTACTAGTGGATACAACTAGTTACCTGTAAATTGCCATATCTAATGATTTTTTTTCCTTTGATTTTGATCATTCTCAACCTCTCTGCAGCAGAGAGTACTGCTGACTCTTAAACTTAATTCTATTTTTCCTCTCTTATTTTTCATTCTTTGTCACTGGGTCAATGAAGAGGAGATATTAAGTTGATGTCAAACATCAAAGACATTAAAAGAATATTTTTGTCTAAACATTTTAAGAAAAACAATAATTATCATAACCATTTTCCAGATAAGGAAGCTGAAGATTGGAGAAAATAAGTAATTGCTTAATTACCAGAGCCAGGCCTTGAATATATATCTATCTTGACATCAAGATCTGGCATTTTCTACTATTTTGTTCTTCCTTCAGCTGACAGGATGACTAGGGGGCATTTCTAGTGAGAGTAAAACCATGAGCAGACAGGGCAAAAATGACCAGATTTTGTCAAAAGGACAAAATGCTGTCTTTGCTCTGGTTATTCCTTATATGGTACCATCACAATGGATACAGTGGTCAGGTTCTCAACTCAGCATGTTGGGTGAAAATCTTGTGTAAGACAAAATTCTCCTTGAAAAATCCTTTGCAACGCCCTAAAATACATCATATTATCATTTGTGGCTAGGAAGAGAATAGAATCTATCTCTATATAAAAGAGGTCAGTCTATATCAGAGGGCAGATGATTCTGAGAAGGAAACAATTAAATGCAAATTTTATTTCACAATATCCAGCTGAGCTTTTTGAGCAGGAGAAGGAGGGAACTAGAAACTACTCATACCAAAAATAAAAAGTTAAAAAAAAATAAAAACAGAGAAAGACTTAGCTGCGAAACCGATGGGGGAATGGGGAGGGAATACTCCTGAAAAGACTTCACATAAAAGTTATTAGTGAAGAATCCCACTGATCCATAAATGACTCTTCTTGCTTTATTGGGTGGCAAGAAAGAACAAAGTCAAAGGCAAGATATCATAGCCCCTTTGAGCTGACCAGGAATATTGGCAAGGTCAGCTCACACTGTCTTTCTCAGGAGGTTTATAAACCCAACCAAACAATTAATAAGCACCTATTAAGTGTGTGTCTATCACGTTCTGAGTGCTAGCTGGCATACAAAGACAAAAATAAAATAACCCCTGACTTTAAGAAGTATTCTTTCTGTGGAGAAAACATACAAATAGTACATACTTTATTACATGCATGTATTCATGTGAATATATGCAGACATGCCTACATATATACACATTTATTTAAGTACATATGTAGCATAAATGCAATGCATGTGTAGGTTATATGCGTGTGTGCATATGTGTACATATGCAAATATATTTACATATACCATGCTTGTATCTGCCCAGAAAATACGTATTATATATAATGCAATATATAACATTACATGTTCATATTATAGTTATTATGTTATATAACATGTTTATACTGCAAGATGTGAATGTATTTTGTATGCATGTGTGTATCAATGTATGTATATGTGTATAAACATGAATGTATGTGTATATATATATGTGCATATATAGTTATGGGGAGGAGGGTGAGAAATACTGAGGAATCCAGGATGATTCTGAGGTTGTAAGTCTGAAGAACTAGGAGGATGGTGGTGCCCTCTACAGTAACAGAGAAGGTATGTAGGGTGGCAGAGGGTATGATTTAGAGAAAAAGGTAATGACTTCAGCTTTGGATATGTTGAGCTTAAGATGTCTTTAGGACATCTCATTTGAGATATCTGAAAGGCAGATGGCAACATGAGATTGGAGGTCAGTAGAAAGGTTAGGACAGAATAGGTAGATTTAAGAATCATCAAAATACATATGGAACTTAAATCCAAGGGAGCTGATGAAATCACCACGTGAAGTAGTATAGAAGGAGAAGAGAAGAAAGGAGGGTCCATGGCAAAATCCCGAGGGGCATTTATGGTTAGAAAGTGTGATCTAGATGAAGATCCAACAAAGGGGACTGAGAAGGCATGGTTAGATGGGGAAGAGAGAGGGATATCCTTAAAATCTAAAGAAAAGACAGTACGAAGGAGTAGAGTGAAAAAAAGTGTCAAAGGCCATAGAGAAGCAAAGGGGAATGGAGAATGAGGAAAAGGTCATTAAATTCGGCAACAAAGAAATCACTGGTAACTTTGGAGAGGATAGTTTCAATGAAATGGCAAAGTCAGAAGCTGGATTGTAAGTGTTTAAGAAGAGATTGAGAAGAGAAATTGGAGACACCTGTTGTGTTTGTTCAGCAGAGCCAGTATAGGATGAAGGCTGCAAATGATGGGAATGATCCAAGGATGAGGTTTGGCAGGGCATGATTGGTGATATGAAAAGGGGGCCAAAGATTCAAGAGAGGAGGACAGTATAGAGTTGAATTGATTCATCAACAAGTCAAGACAGGGAGAAGAGGAGAGAGTGGCTAGTGCAGGGAAGATGGCCAAGAAGAGAACTGAGGGGTAAATTTAGGGACTGAAGGTCATGATATGAACAAAAAGTTTTGTAAGGGAAGGCAGAGACAGAGGGGAAAAGCCAAGAGGTTATGGTTGGATAAGAGGATTTTGAAATTTTTGAATGGGGAGGTGGTACCTTTGTGGGTGATGGCAAGATCAAGGGTATGACCAACTTTGTGAATGGCTGAGGTGTGGTGGAGGCATGGAAATGGGAGACAGAGTATCATATATAGGAAATTAAGAAGGCCAATTTGGCTAAACAGTAGAACGTAAAAAGGGGTGAAGTAATAGACTGTTGGTGTGATGACGAGGAGATTCTAAAACCTGCACGGCAAGGAGCTCATACTGTAAGTAAGATACCCGGGGATCTAAAACAGACAATGGAAAAACGGCTTCGCGTCTCCTATTTCCCTCCCATCCTAGGACACAAATGCATTGCAGAGAAGGGCAGGAGGAATTGCCCACATCAGTTAAATTGGCATTTTCTACCCCCTCTTCACTTTTTTCCTCCTTAAGCATCTAGATGACTACACCAAAGTTAAATGAGGAAGAAATGACTCATTAAATGCAGATAATTCTGCTTCATCCTTCTTCATCTCCTGAATTCCAACATGCCTTTTAAAGCCTAACTCAAATGCCAACTTCTCAATTAAGCCTCCCCCGATTCTCTCTGTAGATAGCCTTTTCCCCTTGGCCCTTTCATTGCACTTTGTTTTGCCAGATCATGAATACATTTTTATACGTACTATTCTGTATAAGAATTATCTGTGTATGTGTCTTATTCCTCTAGTAGACAGTAAGCTCCCTAAAGGCAGTGACTATCTGCAGCCTCAAGACCACATGCGACCCTCTAGGTCCTCAAGTGCAGCCCTTTGACTGAATCCAAACTTCACAGAACAAATCCCCTTAATAAAAGAATTTGTTCTGTAAAACTTGGACTCAGTCAAAAGGCTGCAGCCATGGTCCTCGAAGGTCACACGTGGCCTGAAGGCTACAGGTTCCCCACCCCTGCCTCTGACCTAAATTTTGTACCAGGTTCAATGCCAATATCAATGCTCACCACACAGCAAGCACTAAACGTTTGCTGAATTGAATTCTAAGTATGGGTCATATCTAGGAGACAGTAGGAGCAGTCCAGTTTGGTTAAAGTGGAGAGCGTGGAGAGACGGGGAGATATGGCAACAAAGGTAAGATGGAACCAAGTAGCAAAGGGCTTGGGATTCTAGACCCACAAAGCGGTAGTTGATGGGGCAGGAGGGAGGGAGATTCTCAATGTTTACCAAGGAATTGGTGATCAAGGTGAATCCAGAAAAAGAATAGCAAGGGAGCCTTCTGGGGAAAGGAGTCAGAGAGGTCAGTTAGGAAGGAGATTACGGTAGTTGAAGCATGGAGGTCATGAGGGAGTGAACTCGAGAGATAGTACTGAAAATGGCAAGGTGTGGAAAAAAAGGACTTCTCCAAAGGAATAACCAAGACAGTTTTTTGTTTTGTTTTGTCTTGTTTTACCAACTTGATCAAGCAAGTGGGGGATTTAAAGAAGAAGATGAGTCTAAGAAAGACAAAGATGTCCCAGAACTGCACAGATCCCAAAAGGAGGAATGCAAACTGAGTTTCTGTTGGACATACCTTTTCAGGCACCTCTAAGTGAAATACTTTTAGGGCCTGTTTAAAATCCGCCTTACAGAGAAGACCATTCTTTTTCTTGTCCAAATGCCGAAAGTGTTTTCCCAATCCTGTTAGAATACGAACAGCTCTTTCATGTAATTTCTCTTTTAATAGATCTGTTCAGCAAGAAAAGAGAGAAAATAAAAACTAAACATTTTATTCAGGAATAAATCAAATTGGAATTGACTTTTTTTCCACATGAAAATGACATGGTCAAAGTAATCCATATTGAGAGTAAATAATAATAGCTAACATTTATATGACACTATATGCCAGTATTTTTTTATTATTTTTTCATTTCATCCTCACAACAACCCTGGGAGATAGGTGCAATTATTATCCCCATCTTACAGATGAGGAAAGTGAGGCAAGAAGAGGTAGAGTGATTTGCCCCGGCTCACACAGCTACTAAGTTTCTGATGCCATATTTGAACTTAGGTCTTCCTAACTCCAGGTCCAGAGCTCTGCCCCCTGTGTCATCTAGCCTGATATTATATGAAGCCAAAGGGACATACAGACTTACAGATAATAGAAGCCACTGTCCACACTGGTTAACTGTTGACTCTTTCGATACTACTGAAGTAAGGTACCTATTTGCAAAGTTTGAAGGATACCACATTTTCACTACAGAGGCTCAGTTAAGCAATCTGGCAAATAAACCAGAGCTGTAGCACCACCCTGTGGCAGAAGTTTTATCATACGGTTTGGAGAAAGAAAGGGGGAAAAAAAGCAATGGATTGCTTATCAGTGTATAAACCTCCTACTTTTTTCTATTGTGGCCAAATACTACCATTTCTAGTCTCACTACTTGGATTCTCCCAAACAAGTCATTTGAAAGAACACCTATGATGCTATGTTGGTGGTATTGATAGTTCTAAATGACTTTGAAATCCTTAAATCAGTCAATAAGAATTTACTTACACACACCTACTATATGCCAGGAACCAATGTTACTTCTATACAGTCATGTTGGAGGGATAAATGATATGGATGAATTTAAAATAATTTTCCCTGCCAAAATCATCTAGGGTCATGTTCTTAGTTTCCTCATTTTTCCTCCACACCCAATTGATTTCATTTACTTCAATTTTTAAGTCAACATTCTGCTTTATTCTCAGGAAATAGGATACAAATAAATTTGTTTCTTAACAAATTTTGCCTAACAAGTTAAAAGTAAAAGAATGAAAAAGAAACTGCTAGCTATAACTATCAAAGAAAAAAATTTTTTTTGTTTTGTTCCAAACAAAACGCTTGGTTTGATTTAGATAACGAATCTGACTGTGTATCTCATCACATAAATAATAACAAGGAATATACTTGGGCTCATTTACCAAAAAGTGACAGTTCAAGGCTCTGTCCACCCTTCCAACTATTGCTCCCTAACTGAGGTGAGCCTCAAACAAGAGGAGCCATGCCTTTCTAAAGAAAATGAACACCTTTCTAACACTTGAACATGTGGAAACTGAGTACAATAAATCCCACACTTAGAAACTAAGGAAGGGAAGGAGACCTGGTTCTTGGTGTGGATGTGAAAAAAAATTAATATGTGCAATAGAGAATGCAAAGGTAAAATAGAATGTGAGGAATCAAAATTTTAAATGATGCCTAATAAACAGCACATAACCAAAACAGGGATATCAGCCCCTTTTCTGTGAGATGCTCCTATTAAATGAAATACTTTTAGGACCTGTTTAAAATTTGTCTAACATGGAAGTCTGTTTTCTTTCTCATCCAACTGCCAGAATGATGTTCCCAATCCTGTCAAAATATGAACAGTCCTTTGATGAAATTTTTTATTGTATGCAGTATGAATGTAGACTTGGTTGACAAATTGGTTTTGCTGGTTTAAAAATACATATATCCCTTATTATAAGAAATGACTCTGGGAAAAAATGATTAGGGAAGATATACCGGGAAATAAAGGTGATGTAAAAACAAAAAACATCAAAGAAAAATATCTAAGATATTTGTTCAGATTCAATGTTCTGATATTCAGAACTAAAACAAAAGTAGAGAAAATGGTCATTGGGGATTTGAAATACAAACTAATTCAGAAAACATCTTTTTCCCGTTCCTCTTTAGCTCTGCCAGATTAATCTTCCTGAAGCATAGATTTACTGTCACCACATAGCTCAAAACCCTTCAATGATTCCCTACAGCCTAATTGATAAAATTCAAAGCTTTTTTTTTTTTAATTTTAAGTTCTACCACTTAAGCCTCTCCACAGTGTGGTGCTGCCTTAAGTTTCCAGCTTATTTCACACTCTTGCCCTTCCGCCCATATTTAAAGCTTCATCTAAACCAGATTACCTACCACTTCCTTGATATGTCCTATACTCTCCTGCATCTATACTTCTGTCTACACTGTTCTGTAAACCTCAAATATCTATCCTTTATACCTTTTTATTTGATGAACTCACCCACCCTGCAAGATCTAGTTCCAATGAAACCTCCTCTATAAAGTCTTATGTCATCTTCCTCTTCTCAGAAATAACCATTGGAAATGACCATTTTTTCCTTCTTTGTCATCTGTCATTTATGGAATATATTAATCAATTAATCAATAAGCATTTATTAAGCACCTTGTATCACTTCTTCTGACGTCCATGGGAGCACTTGCCTTTTGTGAGTTCTCTATAAAATAGGCTTTTAGGCAAACATACATCTGGCATTCGAACAACGTGGCTAACCTGGGGAACTCACATGGAAGTCAGAAGAAGTAATACAAGAACACTCTCAAGGTCTCTCTAAAGAACTCTGGAATCAATTGTGAAACATGGGCAACACTGGAAAAGAACCAGCCAGCATGGCATGCCCACATCAAAGAAGGAGCCGTGCTCTATGAGCAAAGCAGAATTGCAGTAGCTCAAAAGAAATGTGAGATGCACAAATTTAGAGCCATATCAACTTCAAATGTTCATATGGACTATTTGTGCCTGACCTATGGTAGAGCCTTCCACGTTTGTATTGGTCTGATTAGCTACAGTCAGATACACTGAACCTTGATCCCAACATAGTGATGTTTTTTTGCTCTTCTTGGATGATGATGGACAACAACCATTTAGCACTAACCCTGTGGCAGACACTGTGCTAAGAGTTGAACAGTTCTATTTATTTATTTACACTTGATCTCATTTACCAGTGACAGTTCAAGTCTCTGTCTACCCTTCCAACTCAGATGAGCCTCAAACAGGAGGAGCTACACCTTCCTAAAGAAAATGAACACCTTGCTACCACCTGAACATGTGGAAACTAAGTACAATAAATCTATTTATTTTATAAATAAGAAAACTGTAGGCCCAAGAGCTTAAGAGACATCCTCAGGGTTATAGATAGTACATAGCAGAAATGGAATGGAAACTCAAATCCAAACCTAATGCTCTTGTTGTGGTATAAAGCTGTCTCTTAGTAAGGAAACAAGGGCTCTCTTGCAGTATTTGGATAAAACTTTATATATGGACAAGTGGTTATACACATACTTATCTTCATGGATAGAAGTTACAGGAAGGCATATTTTGACTCACTAAAGATTAAAAAAATAAACTTCCTAGCAATTTATGATGTCCAAAAATAGAATGAACTGCCTCCTAAAGAAGTAAACTAGCTTTCAAGCAATTAAAAATATGATTAAGTGCCCCATATATGCCAGGCACTGTACTAATCACTTGGGGTACAAAAACAAAAAGTGAAATAGTCCCTGCCCTCCAGGTCTTTACGGTCTAGCGACAGGAAACAACGTATACACGTAGAGGTCTATACAAGATAGATACAAGATAGTTTGAAGAGGAAAGCACTAGCAGCCGGTACAGTCAGAAAGGATATCATGTAGAATATGGTACTTGACCTGAGCCTTGAAGGAAGTTAGAGATTCCAAGAAGTAAAGGTGAGGAGACAGTGCTTTCAGGAATGAGAGACGGCCAATGCAAAGGCATGAAGATGGGAGATGGAATATCTTGAGAAGAGCAGTAATAAGGACAGTGTGACTGGACTACAGATATGCATGCATGAAGGAGAATAAGGCCAGAAAGGTAGGTTGGGAACAGGATGTATAGGGCTTTAAATGCCAATCAAAGGATTATAGAGATCAAAGCCACTGATGCTTGAATGGGGTAGATTCATGATCAGATATGTGGACAGAGACATGGTCAGATAGGCACTTTAGTAAAAATCACATTGGCAGCTGTGTAGAGGATTTGTTAGAATAGGGAGATACTTGAGGCAAGGAGACCAATTAGGAAGCCATTCCAATAGTTCAAAACAGTAGTTAGAGGTGCCTAAACTACTGGTTGAATAATTTAAAAGAAGTGAGAGATATTACTGAAGCACTGAGATGTCATGAGGGTAGAAATGACATTGGAGATGTTAAAGAGGCTAAGGAAACATTTGTTTGGTAGACTAGAAATGAGACTCATCCATTGGTCAGAAAGTGGACCTCTAAGATCCCTGTAAGACCCTCTAAAGCTCTGAGTTTTATAATATAAGTGTAATAACCTTGTAAATTCTCCTGGATACATGGAACAGCATTTCATAGGTAGGATGGCTTCTTAAATGTTAATGAGTCAAAAAAATTCCCATGTGTGAAATACTTTAAAGCATTCTACTGTCTAATGGGTATATACTGATCACATGGACAATTTCTATTGATAAACTTTTCTTACAGATTGAGTGGGACAAGTCAATGCACATACAGACTTCTTACTAAACTACCTTATATTTAACTACCTGTTTATATGTGCATGCTTATTATGTGTGTTTGTGTGTTATGTACATTATAAGATCTTTTTTTGCTTGTCTTTCCTACTAGAATAACAACTCCTTGCAAACAGGGATTATTTCACCCATTTTACTTGTATTCTCAGTGCCTAGAACATAATAGGTGCTTAACAAATGTTTGATGATTGATCTATGACAAAGGGAGGGTACACTTTGAAGTGACTGTTAGGGCTTAGTATGATTTTTATCATGTATTCAACTATATTGCCCCCCACCCTGTATTTGCTATACGTGGTTTTTATATTAACGCTCCAATTTTATTAATAGCGGGAATTTTCAATGAGTAAACTCTCCTTACCAATACAAATAAGTAAGTGCTTTGTAACTCGGAGTCTTACAGAACTATCTCCTGCACTGACAGGTTAAATGATTTGCTCAGTCACCTACCCAGTATATGACAGAAGTTGGATCGTTGTGTGTATATAACAATACTACCTTACGTGTGAGTAATACTCTGCAGTTTTCAAGGAACTTTCATAACTATTATTTCATTTGTCTCTTATAAGACAAATAGAATAGATACCATTATTCCCATTTTACAGATGAGTGGGAGCATTGGGATGAGAACATTGGGCCTCAAAGAAATGTCCAACCTCATAGTGTTAATAAAAGCAACAAAGACAAGTTTAGAATCCAGCCAGGTCTTCTGGCTCCTACTCCACTCACTATACCGTGCTGTTATACAACTTACTGGCAAAGTTAATAATGCATGAAGTAAGGTCAAACTTCCTTAGCGAAAATAATCTACGTTTCACTCAATTCATTTTTTCAACCATATATTCTAGTAGCTGATAGATTTCACAAGCTCGTACTTCATACAATTCTGCCATTCAGTTAAATATAACTGTCATGATGATAAATACTGTATTGAAGAAGAAAGATACACCCACACACAATTAGCAAAAGAAAAAGGGAAGGAAAGCGAAGGGAAAGGAAGGGAAGTGAAGGGAAGAGAAGAAGGGAAGAGAAGGGAAGGGAAAAAGAGAAAAGGAAAAAGAGAAGGGAAAAGGAAAAAGAGAAGAGGAAAGGAAAAAGGGAAGGGGAAAGGAAAAGGGAAGGAAGGAAGGAAGCAAGGAAGGAAGGAAGGAAGGAAGGAAGGAAGGAAGGAAGGAAGGAAGAGATAACACTGAGACACAATGGAGAAAGTAGTGGATTTGGAATTAGAAGACCTGAATTCAGATTACAGCTCCGCCACACACAATCTGTGTTGTGGACAAATAAATAATTTCACCTATCTGGGCCTCTGTTTCCTCCTCTGTAAAATGGTGGAGTTTGACCTGATGACTTACAAGGTTCCTTCCTGCTCTAAAACTATGATCTTATTATCCCATGACTTTGAAAACATGTAGAAATGCCTATTTATGACTAGTAAGGAGACTAAACATTTAAGTAAAATACAGAAAGGCAGTAATGATACAAACCCTGTATACTCTTGAAGACACTTCTGTCGCTGGCCTCTTGTTCACTCAAATCATCTCCATTTTCCATAAATTTTTTTCTGCAATTAGAACATTTATAAAAGTTAGAGGAGATTCTTGCCTCCTGTAAAGGCCTCAGTCCTCCTTTCAGAACTTCTCTGAATCTATACAAGTCATTTTTTTCTCTCAAGAAAAAGAAAACTTCCAATCAAACAAAAGAATGGAATAGCCCTCAATCAAGAGGTAAAATCATAAAATATAACAAGAGCCTCTTTTAAATGTTCTGTTCATTTTTTTAAAAGTCACTTCAATGATACTTTCAACGAATTTGCATTTATGAAGCAGTAAATCTTTTTGTCAGGAAAAAAAAGCAGAACATTAAAATATTGGAAAAAAGGATAAAATTTTTGATGGTTTACATTGAGCACGAGCATGAATATAAATAAAATTTGGATTTCATCATATACATTTTAATAATTTAATAAAGTAATAGTAACATCTGCAATACTTTGATATTTAGTTAAAACAGGATTGTAACTACAAATAAATGCCACAGTAACAATAATACAATAAAGTACAGCTAGATCCCAATTAGTGTGAATAATAAATTCCCTGAAGCGGTCACATTATTCAAGTTTGCGCCTCATATTTCCACTGGTTTAGAACCAATTACCCTTTTTTATATAATTTTTTTATAATTTATAATTTATTTTTATTATTTATATTTATAATTATAATTTATATAACTTTAACTTTAAATTTGAAGTTGATTCAAATATATGCTACTACTTCCAAGGATTCATTATTCACACTAATAAATAAAGTAAGGAATTATTGTTGTATAAAGTGACCAAAATTGAAAATCTGAGTTATTTTGTTATTTTTTATAATGCCCAAATATCATTTTAAAGATATTAATTTCTGCCATCAATGAAATAATACATGATTTAAAATTTTTATTATCTTGATAATGTAATAAAATTCAAAGCCTAAGAATAAGATAAAGATCTTCTTAAATTTCTTCTTAAAATTTATTTCTTATTTATTTTATATTATTCACTTGCCACTGCCTTTCCTCCACTTACATATAACATGCATAATATTGTATAGAATATGATGTAAAACTGTAGACTGTGTAATGTTTTGGGGGTGTTAAATGACCTAAACATTAAAACTCCTTGGAGGAAAGATTGACAATTTAAGGTTATTCATGACCTATGTTGTTCTTCTCCCATTGCACTCTCTAAATGACAAATTGGTCTGGAACTTACCTGAGACTGTCCAAAGTTAGCTGATCAACATGGGTGACTCGAAGTGTAATTAATGGATTTTCTTTTATACTTTCTGGAAGACTAAGATGATAAGAACTCAAAAATGTCAAGTTAGCACCCTGAAGACAATGACAAAAAGGAATTATTTGCAGCTATGAAGCACATAGACTATAAAGAGTTTCAAGACTACTAGCTTAATACTGCATGGTACTTAGCACAGAGTATTTTAATAATCCCAAAAAAGTATGTCATGGGAGGGGCAGCTAGGTGGTGCAGTGGATAGAGCACTGGCCCTGGAGTCAGGAGGACCTGAGTTCAAATCCAGCCTCAGACACATAACACTCACTAGCTATGTGACTCTGGGCAAGTCACTTAACCCCAATTGCCTCACAAAAAAGAAAAAAAAAGTATGCCCATATGTCATGGGACAACCATGTAGATTTTGGTTAATTCTATAAATTTCCTACAAGAAATAGAAGAATTCATCTTTAAATGTCATTCAATTAAATAAATAATGAAACTCAAGTGATTTTTTTTTTGCTCAAAATAAAAAACTGAACAGGTCATGCCAAAGGAAAACTCAGTTCAACATAAAATATGACTTCTCCAATATATAAAAATGGCACTAATTAGCCATAGTTATGTATTTTTGTTTGATTGGTTTTTTTAGACAACTGGGGCTAAGTGACTCACACAGGGTCACACAGCTAGTAAGTGTCAAGTGTTTGGTCTGAGGCCAGATTTGAACTCAGGTCCTCCTGACTGCAGGGTCAATGCCATTGAGCCACCTAGCTGCCCCAATAGCCATGTGTTTTAAGTGATGGTAGATTTTGCTATTAACTCTCCACACTTTTCACTGCCCTCTTAATTATTAGAGAAGCCCAAGATGGCGAAATGTATACAAAGGGGTTAGTGGGTAGTCTGTGGTCAAACACCAAGTTTCTTTCTGTGATGGTGGATATATCAGAACTGAGTTTCATTTATTCACTGAACACTTACTTATTAAGCCTCCATTGTGCACAAGGCATTAGATCAACACAACTTTAGAAGCACATGAGCTAACTAGCAATCGAAACAGAGCTAAGGACTGGACCTATGAATTCATTGTCATAAGAAACTCCCAAATGAGAAAACTCTTTCTACCAATGCAGATAGCATCTGCTCTGCAGCTTATAATTTTAGAGTTCCCTAAGTATGTGTTAGAGATAGGACTTGAACCCACATCTTCCTGGCTGTCTCCTACACCATAAGGTCTCTCAGCAATAAGTAAATAAATGAGTTTTGGTTCCAATTCTTCAAGATTGTCTTGCTCTATCAAACAAAGCAGGGAATGAGAGAGGAAATAACAGGGATGTAGGATTAAGCTCATATCACCTTTTGGGAGGGAATATGTATCTTAAAAGAACCAATGATTAAAAAGTATGCTAAATCTACTTAGGAGTCTTTTTTTTATTTTTTCAAGTCACCCAAGGGAATGTAAAGGATTTTCCCCTCAAAAGTAATTCATCATTTCATTAATTTTTATCAGTGTAACATCAATGTCAATTTATTAAAATTCAAACTGTATCTCTTGTACGTGCAGAGTTGTTTACATGTTGTCTCCAACTTCCCTCCTATTAGAATATGAGCTTTTTGAGGGCAGAGATTCTATTTTTACTTTTCTTTGCATCCCCAGCACTCAGCATAATGCCTGGCACAGAGTAAGTACTTTAAAAATGCTTGTTAAATTGACTTATTTCTGAAGAAAGTTGTATATAGTTTACAAAAATATTTTATATTTCATTATATAACTCAAAATATCCTCAACTCAAAAAATATATATATAACCCAATGAAATATCCAAGCAATTTTGTCAGGTTCTGAGATAACACAATAATAAAAAACATTCTGAATATGAAGACAAAACTTTTCATGTAATTATCTTAGTTGGTACTCACAGTCTTGATATTACTTGTTCTTTGCAAGGAAGAAGGGAGGGATTTAAGAACTGTTACTAAAATGTCAAGTTTACCTTTCAGCAAATGAACCTTTTGTAATCTGAAAGAATCTGAATTATAATATTACAAATAAGAAAATGTTTTACTTTCCTGACAGTACAAACACCTGGGAAGCTTTGATTAAAATGTAAAAAGTTATTATTGGGAGATTTTTCTGTTAGAACAGGAATCTTTAATCTTTTTTCTATTACAGACTTCTTTGCAAGTAAAGCCTATGAGCCCCTTCTCAAGAATATTTTTAAATGCACACAGCAAAATACATTGAATTGCAAAAAAAAAAAATTATGTTGAAATAAAGATGTCATTTTTTTCCCATTCAAGTTTGGAGACCCCTCCAAAATCGATCCATGAACACTTAGAGATCCATGGAACCCAGGTTAAGAATTTCTGTATTCGAAGACATAAGGTTAGAATACAAGTAGAGGCAAAAGTCCTAATAAAATGTTAATATCAACATATGCTTTGAATCGTTCCTGCATTACATTCTAGTAACATTTTTATCACAAAGAATAAAATCAAAGAATAATATAGTCATTTAGTTCTTAAACAAAACCAGAGAAATGATTTGGATTTAATCACTGGGTGTTGTAATCACAGTCTTATTCATAAACTCATTCCAGTGGGTTCCTTTATTAAACTAGGTGATTGAAATCTCCTTAGTCAAAAAAGGCAAGTAAGTATGTGAACACAGTTTGTATATATAAACAATATAACAACCCAAGTAGCCATTAAGTGAGGGACTGATACCATATTGAAGATGCTAAATCATCTTAAGATTTACAAAACACTTTAGATAATATTTTTGTCTCAGTTGAGCCTCAATAATACTAGAAGATGGCAAGTATTCAAAACCCTGTTTTACAGATGAAGACACAAGTGCACCATGAAGCTACATTACTTCCCTGCATGCATCCTACTACCCAGTGACAGAGTCAAAACTTTCAACTGTCTTCTCATTTTACATCATCTAGCCATTATTACCATGCTTTCTCTCTAAATTATAGCAATATATCACAAATACAATTAGTCTAATCTTGTTATATTTTTCTCATTTTATAGATTATTAGAATGGAAGTTAGCAGAGACCAAAGTGAAAACAAAGCTTTACTAGATGAATGGATAGATGAAAATACAGTAAAATTATATTATATTATATTACATTATGTTATATCATATCATGTTATATTATGTCGTGTCATATCATATCTCATATCATATCATATCATATCATATTATACATAGATATACCATACAGAGATATAGGGAGCGATATAGTAAACATATACAGTATATATGGGTATAACTATATATAAACATAGGTAGATAGATAAATAGATGGAGATATAGTAAATATAAATAGTATATAGAGATATTTGTATATATAGGTATAAGTAGATAGATAGATAGATAATATTAATCCAATCATGGAAATTGTTACTGGTACCTGATCATAACATAGTGTGTAATAAATTAGCCTTGACCAAGCGTTTTCCCTCCAACCAGAATCACACTACTAATAAGGATATCAAGATATCTTTTGTCCTAATTATGTGACTTTAAAGAGGTGAAGGGAAAGAGCTGAAAAAATAATTTTAAAATATCTAGAGAACAGAAATTGTTATTTCCCTTGGTAGTTTATCCCAGTGTTTAGCTATAAAAACACAAAGCTCCCTTGTTATTAAGTGTTTTTAGAGTCAGTATCCTAAAGTTCCAATAGATGGTGATGTTACTATATAAAAGATGGCATTTTGATTAGTAGGATGAGGTTTAGCTTTCCTTACTTTACAGAGTAGGAAGAGGTTTTTTGTCTTTTTTTTGGTGGGGGTTGATTGGTTTCTTTGAAGGGAGTCACCATTGATTTGTTTTGCTTGATCACACATATTTGATATAAGGCAGGGGCTTTTACTAAGCAGGGGGAAGTTGTTGGGTAATGATAGACATGAAAAAAAGAATGACAACAAAGCATTTTAAGAGGTGCACTGAGGAAGGTATGGAAAATAGAGAAGGGTACACAAATAAAGCAGTTAGTTACTATCTCATTATGCTTTTAAATATATATATGTGTGGATATACACATACACATACATGTAAATTATATGTAATACTTCTGCCAGGCAGAGTTGTCTTTTTAGAGTATGCCAATATGGATATATACATACATATATATATCTTATATATAATACTTCTGTCGCGTACCATTATTTTTAAAGAGTATATATGTATACACATGTGCGTATACACAAAGAGAAACGTTTAAAAAAAAATTCTGCCCTCGAGGAGCTCACATTCAAATGGAGAAGATAACATGCAAACAATTGTGTGCACACAATATTTTTTTTCATGTAGAAGTGACTCTGGGTTCCTGAAGGTTTCACTAGGAAAGCACTGGCTCTGGACAGTAACCTACGGGAAACTGGTCGCTTGTTGTCCTTAGAGGACCAAAACGATATCACTGTGTTGGAGTCAAGGTAGAGTGTGTCCAACTGTGCCCAATCAGACCAATACAAGCTCAGAAGGCTCTACTACAGATTGGGCACAAATAGGCCATCAAAGAAGGAAACTGGGAAGGCTTGAAGTACTGATCCTGAAAAAGTTCTCAAGTCTCTCCCCACTACAGTCCAGCCTCCTCTCAGTTTTGCTAATGCACAAGTCTTACCATGTCTCTCTCATCCATTTAGTAAATTCCAATGGCTCCCAACTACCTTAAGGATCAAATATAAAATTTCTGCTTGGTAGTTAAAACCCTGGTCTTTTACTATCTCTCCAGTTTTCTTAAACCTTACTACCTTCCATATAATCTACAATTCAGTGACAGCAGCCTGCTTACTGTTTTTCAATAAGATGCTCCATCTCCTAAGTCCAAGAATTTTCACTGGCTGTCCCCCATGTCTTTCTCCTCATCTCCACCTCCTGATTTCTTTGACTTTCTTCAAGTCTTAGCTAAAAACTTGCCTTCTGCATAAGCCTTTCCCAATCCTCTCTTAATTTCTAGCACCCTCCCTCTGAGATCATCTTTAATTTATCCGTTACGCAGGGTGTGTCGAAGTCTTAGAGCAGTTTTACACTAGTTAAGCTTAAAGCTACACAAAGACAAGCTTAATATACTATGTCTTGTTTGTGCATAGTTGTTTCATGTTGTCCTCCCCATTAATTTGTAAGTTTCTTGACAGCAGGAACTGTTTTTCCTTTCTTTGTATCTCCAGAACTTAGCACAATTCTTATCATGCAATAGATTTTTAATAAATGTTTATTTACTTGACTGCATGTCTATTGGTCAAGAACTAGCCAAAGTTCAGAGATACTCATCATCAGACCAGTGGTCTCCAGCTGCATAGTTTGAGCCACACAAACCCACAAAACTGTCTGTACTTGTGAAGCGAGTCTTACAAAAGTGGGGAACCTGCAGCCTCGAGGTCACATGTGGCCCTCTAGGTCCTCAAGTGCAGCCCTTTGACTGAATCCAAAGTTCTGATTCGGTCAAAGGGTCACACTTGAGGACCTAGAGGGCCACATGTGGCCTCGAGGCCACAGGTTCCCCACTTCTACCAGTTAAAAACATAGATTCTTGAGACACTGAAGTTAGCTACAATTTTTAAATTGCTCCTTGTCTTTTATCACATTCACTTCTAGCCTAATTTAATCTCACTTCCTCTTGTGTTGTCTTCTGCATCATCCACCCCAATGAAGCAAACAACAGCTAAACTGACTTCGCATTTTTTAAAAGTAATAATACTTACAACATAAAAGTCTTGAAGTTGATACTGTTTGCCTTTTCTTCGTCCATATTGATGACTATAAATGCCTTTATGAATAAAGGGAAGTGCATTTGTTCTAGAAATTAAATCAAAAAATCTTGAAATTATGACATTTCTCTCAAACTGATCTTTAAAATGACTGTAAAGTTATGGCACTTACCTATTACTGCCAAACTGTCGATACTCGTAAATGGTAAGTGACTTGTCATGTGCAAAGAAGAATCCCATCAGCTCTCTACAAGCATCACGTCCATTCCTAGATGAGTTGAAAAGTATTAAAGTTTTTTAGTTAACTGAATCTATTTCAAAGTCAAGTCAATGGAAATGCAAACCTTAGCTAACAAACCAAAATGGCAAGATAAAACCAAAAATATGTCTTAAGCTAAATTCTTCTTATGACTGAAGATTCTGATGTTATCCAAAACATTGAAAGGAAAATTAAATTTAAATAAACATTCAAAATAAAGAGTGAAAGAAAAACTTCTATAATTTCATTAGAATAATATGTAGTGTTTTTTTAAATATAAGTTTTCTAGTTTGCCTTGAAATCATCTTGTTAATATTTTAATATCCTCTCATTTAAGAAAACTGCTAGTGTTTTTATATTCACATTTTAAAGTTATTTATAATTTGTTACATGACAAAGTAAGTCATATCCATTCATTAAAAATGATTTAAATTCGTTTTTCTTCAGTTATAACATCAACTTAAAATTAACTTCTTATATTTAAGTTTCACAAAAAAGTTAACATTTGTATGTATCATTTGTAGTTAAGGAATGCTTATATTAAAATTCACAATTACCTTGACAAAATACGAGCATCAAATCTTAACTTGTTTGACAGTGTATTTTCAGTTAATGTTGAATGGGTTTTTATCCTGTTAAGAAAAAAGTTAATTATTTTGGGGGGAGCTTAAATGAAAGTACTTCTCCTTTCTAAAACAGTAGCAAGTTTTCAAGTGATCTGTTAAAAAAAACATAGCTGAGGGACAGGTAGGTGGTGCAGTGGATAGAGCACCAGCCTTGGAATCAGGAGGATTTGAGTTCAAATCTGGCCTCAGATACATTACACGCCCTAGCTGTGTGACCTTGGGCAAGTCACTTAACCCCAATTGCCTCACCAAAAAAAAAAAAAGCAAAAAGAAAATTTTTTAAAAAGGGACATAGCTGAAAGGGAATTCAGAGTTCATCTAGATCAGGGGTGGGGAACCTGCAGCCTCAAGGTCACATGTGACCTTCTAAGTCCTTGGGTACAGTCTTTCGACTGAATGTAAGTTTTACAGAACAAATTAAGGGGATTTGTTCTGTGAAGTTTGGATTCAGTCAAAGGGCCACACTTGAGGACCTAGAGGGCCACATGTGGCCTTGAAGTGACAGGTTCCCCACCCCAGATCTAGTCCAACTTCCTCATTTTACAGGCAAGGAAAGTGAGGTCCAATGGAGCTTAAATGCACATGGTTACACAAGGAGCATTAAGCAATTAATCCACATGCTAAATACCTATCATGGGCCAGATACTATGATAGACACTGGGGATACAAAAACAGTTTCAGACCTCTGGAAATTTACAATCTAGAAAGGGAAGATAATATGTACTTAATATATATGAGACTTACAGTCACATGTGTGAGAAACAGTAAGAAAATCAATTTGACTGAGTTATACAACATGAGTGATGGAAATAATGTATAAGGCCTGGTTAGGTTAAGTGGGGCACAGGTTATAAAGAATTGATATGTGACGCTTGAAGGAAAAGTGGAGTGTGGGAGTTTTTTGAGTAGAGAAGTGACATGGTCATATCTGCACCTTGGGAAAATCATTCTGGCTGCTTTATGGAGGAAAAATGCAAATGAGGAGGGACTTGAGGCCAGGTGACCAATTAGGAGGCTTTTACAATTGCCAGAGAGAGAGGTGATGAGGGTGGTCATTGTAAAAGTGGAAAGAAAAGGGCTGACGCAAGAGATATTGAGGTAAAAACAAAATCTGACAACTGATTTAATACGTGGGGTGAGTGAGAATAAGAAGTCAAGGTGATTTACACCCAGATTATGAAGATGTGTGACCAACAGTTTCACGGTGCAGTGAATAGAGAACCGGACTGGAAATCATGAAGACCTCAGTTCAAATTTGTTGTTTGTCCTTTGTTCTCAAAGAGGAGCATGACATGAGGGGGGTGATGCCATGACGTGCAGATGAATTGGATTTAAGTGAGGGAGGGCTGTGCAAAGTCACCAGCCTCATTTTCTCCTCTGGAGCCATTTGGGTTCCGTGGCCAGATATAGATCAGAATGACTGGAGATGGCCCTAGATGCAGGGGGAGATCTTGGCTTTTTTAAACTAAGGTCTTTCCCAGGTCTCAGTTTGTCTGAGGCAATGCCCAATCAGTGATTAAAGGTAGGTAAGAAATGAGGCAGAAATGATCTCTTGTACCTAGTTAAAAAAAATCAATTTGGCAGGGGAGGACCCTCAGGATTTCTGGCCAAACTGCAACCTTATCACAATAAATGAAATGAATGAAGCAAAAGTCACAGACTGATAGGTACTCCTGTGTTAATCTGGCATTGGGCCCATAGACCAACCATAAAAACATATGCAGGCTTCTGCCTGAAGTTAAACAAACAAACAAAAAAAAAAAAAGTAGAGAAAAGTAACCAATACACTGGTGACACATTTACAGAAGGAAATGGACAAGAATATTAAAGAATGTAAGATTGTGGATAGCTTATAATTGTAATCAGCAGAGAAATCAAACTAAGGAAATTATCCATCCAAGTACATATTCAACTAGGAACCACTTAGGTGTCATGACATCACCTCTCTGATGTCATAGTCATCGTCTGAGAACGAAGGACAAACAACAACCTCTGTGAGTAGTAAATAGTAGGAGCTGCCCCACTGGGGATGAAAGTGGAACTGGCCAGTTGGGCAACAATGTTAAATGAGTTATCAAAAAAAAAAGAATTTTTAAAAAATCAATATTTGAATCTATCCTAAGCCCATTCTTTAGTTAGATGAGTTTGTTTTTTGCCTTTTTTTTTTTTGGTGAGGCAATTGGGGGTTAAGTGACTTGCTCAAGGTCACACAGCTAATGAGTGTCAACTGTATGAGGCCGGATTTGAACTCAGGTCCTCCTGACTCTTAAGCCCATTCCTGTGTTATAAACGAAGCACCAGAAAATTAATTTGTAAATAAGAGGAAGTCTTTAAAATGATGCATACATCGTTAATCCTCTTATAGGAAGAAATAAAACTTTTTTTAAGGAAAAAAGGCAAAGGGAGAAGGGGAAAACCCTTCCACACCAGTAGCACAGCTAGAATTTGTCAACTTTTAAAAGTCTTACTTTGTTTCATGTAGTGTTCGTTTCCTAAGATGGAGAGGCACCTTCTCATGGAAAAGAGGAAGATAAGGTACCTGTTGGCTACCAATTATTGAATTTTGTTCTGGGTCACTGATGACTGCTCTGAAATACAAAGCAAATTGATCAACAAATAAATGTAATCCCTGCATTTGCTTCATCTCTCATCTATTTATAAATAGTTGGGATAGCTCACCTGCATGAGATCAACTACATTTCTTGTGAAGTTGTACCTATCTCAGATAGGCACCAAAGAAGCATAGTACAATTAAAACCAACAAATGAAAAAGATATGGATAGCACAAAAATGAATATTGTTGTTTGGCCATTTTGCCATGAATATTGTTTGAAATCAAATGGAAAAAAAAGTTGAGAGTGTTAAGACATCCATTGATTTCAACAAGCTGCTAGACTGTCACAGCAAAGCTTTTCCATGTCCTTAGCTACTGGAGTGACTGTTGATCATTTTTCTCTCAATACAGTTAGCATTTAAGATTTCATACATATAGAAAAGAGTATATTCACAGACTAAGGGGAGCATAACCTTGAGTTCTCACGGCTTCAATTATGATTTCTATGCTTGATTAACTCTCCAATATCTACATCCAGTACTGATCTCTTCCCCAAAATCCAATGACAATTCCAACTACTTAAAGGGCATTTCCACTTGGATATAATGAAAAGAATTGCCAACTTTTATATATAGGTCTTTAATGCTTACAAAGGAATTTATGTATATTATATCATTTTCTCACAATAATCCCATGAGGTACGTACTGCTGGTATGAGTCTCCTCATTTCGACAGAATTGACATTTCCACACTGAAACTTGGATGTGTTAACTGACTTTGCCCGTAAGAGAAAGGAAGGGAAGAAGAAGAGGAATGGGGAAGGGAAATGCAGAAGGGGAAAGGAAAGAAGAAGGGAAGTAGCAGCAAGCACTGAATAAATTGTTATTGGACAAATGCTCCTTAGTACTAAAATTTTACCTGGATAATTGATCAATCATTACTTGTTCTATCACAGCTTGCTGCTTCTTCTTGGCAGCTACAATTTCCTAAGAGAAAAAAGAAAGGGTAAGAATAATAAAAAATAACAATTCCTTTTTTCCATAGTACAGATAAGCAATGAAATAGACTAATAGTGGAATCCAAAGCACTGTTTTGAGCATTTTTTCCAGAAAAATAATTCACATTTATGTAGCATTTTTATTTATAGGAAGATATTTATTAGATCATAAACTTAGCTGGTGTAGAATTTAGAGATAATCAGGGATTTTAATCTTTTTTGGAGTCTTAGATCCTTCTGCAAGTCTAGTGAAGCTTATGGAGCCATCCTCAGAATAATGTTTTAAATTGTTTAAAATAAAATATATAGGATAACAAAGGAAACAATTATTATTATGAATAATAACAGCTAGCATTCATCAGTGCTGTAAAGTTTACAAACATGTTACATAGGCTATCTCATTTGATCCTCACAACAACCCCGTGAAGCAGGTGTTATTATTATCCCCATTTTACAGATGAGAAAAACAAGGCTGAGAGAGGTTAAGTGACTTGCCCAGGGTCCCATAGCTAGTAAGTACCTGAGGCCACATTTGAATTCAGGTCTTCTGGACTCCAAGCCCAACACTGTACACACTATGCCAATTACCTGCCTAGAAAATTAAAATATTTTTAAAAGATCAAGTTCATAGCCTCCAGGTTAAGAGTTTACTATAACTCTTTGCTTCACAGATGAGGAAATTGAGGCCCAGAAACACTAAGTGACTTGACCTGTGGTTCCACCAGTAATAACTGGCAAAACTGGTCTCTGAACCCAGGTTGCCTACTTTCAAATCTGGTGTTTGTTTCATTCCATCATGCCACCTGAGAATTTAATAGGCTTGGTTCTTTTGAGGGTAGACATGGAGAGAAATATATCTCAGGTAGCAAGACATTTCACATCTATTACCTTTATTTTAAAATCATTTAAAAGGCTCTCTACTACACAGCTTTTTTTCTTTTCAATCATTTTCTGTCCACTTGCATTGATATGACAAATCTACAATGACATGACTGATGCAATGATGTGACTAACTTAAATTAGTTTAGTTCTTTATAGAGATGCTTAATATTAAGTTTCTAATAAAATATTTAATTAAAATAATTAACTGCCCAAAAAGGTCTCAACTTTAAAAATGGCTTTATGAAGTTTTCACTTTTTCCCTGATCAAGTAGAAAGAAGGGGTTTAATACATTCTGAATTTCCTGTCTCTTTCTGTGTTAAGTTTAAATTTAAAATTCTTTAAAATAATACATATATCATATGGAAAAACATTTTTCCCAGGCATTTCTTATGCTAGGTAAGTCCACTGTCACAAATGGTAGTTATTATCATTTTTACAAAGTACATTAGGATATCACAGAAAGTTATAACTTCCTACTGAAATGAGATAGCATCTGCATTTTTTAAAATCAGAATTCATCCACATTTGAAAATAAAATCCCATGCCCTCCCTATCAGAAAAAATAATTATCCTATAGGTCATCAAATTACTAAGTCCAAATAATGGTAACTTACAGGGTCAGCTAGGTGGTGCAGTGGATAGAGCACCAGCCCTGAAGTCAGGAGGACCTGAGTTTAAATCCGGCCTCAGACCAAACACTTGACACTTACTAGCAGTGTTGTGCGACCCTGGGCAAGTCACTTAACCCCAGTTGCCTAAAAAACAAAAACAAACAATAAAAAAAAATGGTAACTTACAGCTTCTGATCTCTTTTGGCACTGCCGTGTATTGAAAGAGCTATTTGTATAACATTGCTGCAAAAGGGCTTTCCTGTCCAAAGCTGTCACACTGTCCTTGACCTGTTCTTCAACTTGTGCATTCTACATATAAAACAACGCATGTGGCACAAATGAACATAGTTAGACAGAACAATCAATCTTAACAAAATAATATCGGATTTTAAACCAGTAGTGCACAAAGCCATTCTAAAGTTTGGATTAACATACACTTTGGATCTGGCAGAAACTTCAAAGCTATATACTATCAGTAAATATATATGAAACAAACGAATAGATGATCATGAATTATTTTACACTAAATAGCATTCTGATACTTAGTTTTTTTTTCTTCATGTTTTTGTGAATAGAAAAATAATTACCTTACCAATAGGATATTTCCTTATCTTCCACACCCAAATTGAAAATTTCAGACCGAATTTTGTTTTTCACCATGGGAAAAAATATTTCATTATTAGTATTCCTAACTCTCTGTCATTATTAATATTTATTGTTAAAATGTTAGCAAATATTAAAAAGGCATCTGAAAATCGAATTGCTGGTCCAGTGGTATTACCTTAATTACCTTAATATTGATCAATTAAAACATTTTCGGGATAAAACACTTACACTTTACTATAAGGAAACCATGAACATAAGATAAACTTAGCTGTTTTCTATGACCTGTTACGTGATTCACTATAGTTAGTCATACTGAGATATCCTTATATCACAAATTTTACCCCAGAAAGGACTTCAAAAATGATCAAGTCCAGATCTCTCATCTTCTAAATGAACAAGGTGAGGCCCAGAGATTAGTAAGTCACAGAGCAATGATTAGATTTCGGGTTTTCTTACATGCTTTTCTACCATATCATACTATCTTTTTTTCACTTAAGAACAATGCCATAATTAACAACAGTTGATTGCATGACTCATCTTCAAAGAGAACTTTGGAAGCCACTGTTAATTGTATTAGCCATTCAATAATTTCCTTCCTCCTCCCAAGTGAAAGATTATAAAGAACCTTTAGAACTCCTCTTTGAAGTAACTTACTATATATGGGTTTTATATTACAATTACATTCATATAGAAGCAAATAAACCATACAAAAGTGTCATCTTCTCTATAGAATTGAAGAAAATTGGAGAGGTGCTGTGGACTGTAGGCAAAAAAAAAGATATGAAATTAGATTCTGAAAATTATAGGATGGTGAGCTTAGTTCTTGGAAAATTCTAGAAAATATTATTAAAAAGGGAGTGCTCACCATAAGCCACCATGAATTTACTAAGACCAAGCCGTAGTAGACTAATTTCATTTTTTTGCCTGGATTACTAAATCAAGGAAATGCTGAAGATAAATAGTTGTACCTGGATTTTACCAAGGCATTTGAGAGCTTCTCATCATGTTCTTGTGGACAAAATGAAAAGATATGAATCATATTTAGATACATACAGAAATGACTGAATGAAAGGACCCACAGGGTATTTTTAATGGTTCTGTGTCAAACTGCAGGGAGATGTCCAACAAAATGCCCTAGGATTATTATGTACTCAGCCTTGTTTTTTCTGAAATCAAAGCCTTGGATTAAGCTACAATCAGCTTGTTTATAAAATTAGAGGATTACTTGAAATTGAGAGGGAGATTTTTTTAAAATGGATAACAGAATCAAGATATAAGATTTTAAACAGGATGGCTCTAATAATAAAAAAAATAAATGTGAAGTCTTACATTTGGGTTTAAGATGGGTTCCTCCCCATATGGATGATGGAGAGGAAGGGGGAGAAAAAGCATTGTTCTAGGCACTGTGCTAAGTGCTTTTTTTTTTCTTTTAACAAATTTTACCTTATTTGATCAAGGATAGGATGGTAGTAACAGAGAGAATTGTTCATATAAAAAAAAAACTAAAGATTTTGGTAGCCTATAAATTCAGTATATGCAAATAGCACAGAAGCATTATGTCCAGATCAGAGAATGACAGTACCACTAGAATATGGACAGGTCTGCTCATCCTCTATCCAGAGTATTTTGTCCAGACTTGGGACATCATTTTAAGAAGGACATGAATAAGAAAAAGGAGGTTGACCAGAAGGATAGTCAGAAGGAGTGTCATAAGAGGAACGAATGTTCAGCTAGGGATGTTTAGTCTATAGTCAAGGGAACTAACATTTATTAATCATTCACTATGAACCAGGCATTGTGCTAAGCACTGGGGATACAAAGAAAGGCAAAAACAGACCCTGACTTCAAGGAGCTCACAATTTACTGGGGGAGATAACAAGCAAAGAACTATATACAAGCAAGATACATAACGGCTACGTTGGGAGATAATCACAGGGGGATGACACTAGCATCTAGAGGACTGATAAAGACTTTCTTGTAGAAATCTATAGAAAAAGAATATACATATAAAAGAGACATTAGATCTATTCAGCTCAAGAGCCAGAAGGCCTAGAAAGGGTAGAGGTGAGTTCAGGACCCAACCTCTGATACATTCTGGTACTACAGTCCTGGACAGGTCACTTAATATCTCAGTGTCCCCAGGCAACTCTAAGATCATAAATTGGAGAGAAAATATTGATTTGTAATGGTAGAAAAAATGTATTTCCTTATGAGGAGGATGCCAGTATCCTCTACAAATCAAATCACATGTATAGTTCAAAAACAAGTTCCTTTCTGCCCAGCCTCAAAGGAAAGAGACAGGACTAAAGGATGGACATAAAAGAGGTAGATTTCCAGCAGGCAATGATTAGAGCAGTTGAAAAATGCAATGTGTTGTACCTTGGGGACGTAGTAGGTTCCCCAAAACTACCAGTCTCTAATTGGGGCTGGGTGATCACTTGTTGGAATATTACATTTTTCAGCTAATTAGTTGGACTCGATTACCTCCTATATCTTTTTTAATGAATCTGTCATATGTCACTAATATTCTTCCCATCAGTGAATATTATATACCTCCACTCTTGGAAAATAACTGTCCTATTCTCACTAGTTTATAAATATTTCCAACAGTCAACTGTTACTAACAAGAGCTGTTACTAACCTATCTATAAAGAGAGCTTAGTACTCCCTAACATAAAAGCAAACAGATGTTTCCATTTGGATATAGTATGCAGGAGGAAAAAAAACAACAAACACTTCCACAATATATAATTTGGAATGTTAGGGTATGACCTAGTAAAACAGATGTTAGTGGAAGGCTTTGTTTTAGTTTATCAATGTGACCATGGTGTATTACATACATATATATTTATACAAACATACACACAAATAGATCCTGGATTCCAGCAGGGTGTGAAATTATCTGATACCAGATGGTTATGTTTGTATAAATCTGTTCGGGAGTTTCTTTTACAATACAATTTTAAAGTACACTATAACCTCTATTACTGTTATTAGTCTATTAGCTAAACACTAAGTAATTTAAGCAAATTTTTATACATTTGGAACAACTAAAAAAATTAACTGTTGTTATGTACTATTTGTAAAGTTATTAGCTGTTTTTAATCTACGTAATAATTTTTAAACAGTCATCCTAGCAACTACACTGTTGTTTATAAAAATAAGTTAAATGGGCTTTTTATTTGAATACATCCTTTTGTTTATGAGTACGCAGATACTATTCTGCTGGGAAAAAAAAATGTCTTTTGGAAAATTTTACTCAAAGCTTTTTATGAAAAGAGGAAAGCAGAGGAGAGGAGAGGAGACCCAGCTGGCCATGTAAAGGACACAGATTTAAGGACATATGGTTTTAGGAATGGAAATGACATTGAAGAAGACGCATTCCATTTGCTTTCTGCTGGACCTAACCTTCTCATCTGACTTGTGGCCAGTACCTTCTATAACTGTTGTCTCTCCCATTAGAAAATTATCTCCTTGAAAGCAAGGACATTCTTGCTTTTCTATTTATATTCCCAATGTTCAGCACAAAAATTTGAACATAGTTCATAGCAGTGACTTACTAAATGCTTGTTTTCTTCCTTTCTACCTTGAAATACATGTATCCAGTTTTATTAACAAAAAATATACAAATAAAATCAGTTTTAGAACATATGGAGGTCTCAAAAAATTCAAGTGTACTTTAAAATTTTAACAAATTATATCATAGGTATAATAGAAAATTTTTAAGTGGCATGTAAAGTCAAATTTATTCAAATTCAAGATGACAATATTATATGGATGAATAAAACATACTCAGCTCAGATCCTGAAACAAATGAAATAAAGTCTATCAAATATGAGAAGGCAAACTGTGTCCTCTATCATAAAGTCCATATCATCTGTAAGTCTATCTCAGAAGAAACAAACGTTTATTACTAAAAAGATTATACATAATGTTTATAACTACAAGGTTGTAATAAGTGCGTCTCAGAAAACAGGCCACAGCACATGTGTCATGAGTTTCAGCAGATATGAAAAACTCCTTCCTTTATCTTGAAAATTCCAAATCCTTAAGGCCTTCCACTCAGCTACAATTTGCTTATTACTCTTCATAGCTTAGCAATGAAAAGGTCACAACAGCAACTCGATCTAGAAAGCAAAAAGAGTCAGCTTCTTCTTTATGAATCCTTGGGAAATAAAGAAAGATGAAGAAATGTAGGGGAGGGAAAGACAGTACAAAGAAGTCCAATGTCAAATAATGAGTCTGGTGACCTGAACTCCCGGGAACCAATTTTTTTTCATAACAACATAAATAAATATTCAATGTTTTGCAATTATTCAAGTAAAACAAGAAGAAAGATAAGCAAGCCAAAGAATGATAAGAGTCACTTTTTAAGTTATGAACATTCAAGAGTTTTATAGAGACTCATAAAGATATAGTACAGTACCATTTCATCCGTAATTTTTGAAGGCTGCTGCCATGGAACATTTGGTCGTTTCTTCTCTGAATTTATCTGACTATACCACTTATATCCTTCTTTCATTTCTGTCTGATATTGCTGATATTTTTGCTTATATTTCTGGGTTGGGGATGGCAAATTTTCTGGTATCATTTTCTGTGTGAGGAAAAAAATGACAAGATTCACTAAAATCACAGTCATTAAGGATTATTTTAAAAATACACCAAGACAAAAGTAAGTTTTTTTAATGTTTCAACAATTTAGCATTTTATAAAAAACTGACTGGATTTCATAATCTACATTGTAAAAGAATCTAAGCGAGAAGTTTTAAATTCTCTATGAGAATTTTGTTAGCTCTTGATAGAAACAACTTAGTTGCCTATTCTCAAAGAAATTATTGACAATGTCAATCTCCAGAAGAGAAACAAAAATATCCCGTGATTTTTCTAACACTTCACCCTTTTTTTCTCCTTTGTGTCTTCCTTTTACTTTCTTTTTCCACTCTGTTACCATTCTCTCTGCTTCCCTTTCTCATCTTTTTTTTTCTTTGTTTATTTCTCATGTCTATCAGTGGCATTGATGAGTATAACCTACACATCCCAGTAATGGCTAAAGAAGTTGCAATTTCCCATTCTATAGTAAGAGTTTCTTAACAAAAAAGGGGAGAGGTTCCAACCTCTTTCACTAGAAATGAACAGCACCACTGAAAATATAGGATTTTTTTCAAATTCTTTTTCATCTATTCTAAATACTAATATTCATTAGATTCCCTTAACAAGGATTCATTCCAATTCCTCATCAGAGTATAGGGGTGTCCTTGGGCTCTCAAAGATTATACCAAGTGGAAGGCAAATCTTTGGCAAATATTATTCCAAGACAGAAGGGCTCTGAAGTCAGTCCAGCAATGAATTTTGTATCTTTCATTAAAGAACCAGCCTACTTATATTGGGAGAGGTTAATCACCCAAAAGCTGGCCATGAGGGGATTTAATTTTAGTTTAGTTTTCTTATGGCAATGGCAATTGTCATGGTAATTCATGCAAATCATCTACTAGGTAAAAAGACTTTTAGTTCCTCAAAGGCAGAGGAAGCTAAGGTAGCACAGGGGATAGAGTACCAGGCTTGGATTCAGGAAGATTTGAGTTCAAATCCAGGCTCAGACACTTTTAACTGTAACACAGGGCAAGTCATTGATTTGAGTTCAAATCCAGGCTCAGACACATTTAACTGTAACACAGGGCAAGTCACTTATCCTCTAAGTTTTCTCATCTGTAAAATGGAGACAAGAATAACATCTACCTCCCAGAGTTGTTGTGAGGATAAAATGAGATAATATTTGTAAAGCACTTAGCACAGTGCCTGGCATGTAGTAAGTATTAGGTAAATAGCTATTGTTTTTATTATTTTATTTTTGTCTTTATCTCTCCATTGACCTATTACAGTGCCTGGAACACAATAAGCACTTAATACATGCTTACTGAAAAAAATAAAAGAGGGGTTGTGATGCATGTTGGAGAAGGTGAGGACCCAGACTGACAAAATCATACTTCATGAAAATATGAAGTAATGGGTTTGTTGTTTAGGACTGGTGGTAGTATATGTACAAAGATGTACCTATTTGTAAGATTTTTTTAAGGAAAAAAAAAACATAAGTGGCCACAATGGAAATGGAGAAACTGATTTACCAAAAAGAAGGTTATTTTTTTCTTCCTTAAATTAGAAAAAGGTTGAATAGAACCAACTTTCACCCCTTAAAAATCATTGAATGTTATTGAAAAGAAGTTAATTTTGCCAAAATCATTATAACTAAATAAAATTTAAATTTTGCCACTTATGGTCTGAGACAAATTTGTTAAAAGATAGAGCTAATTTGACTTGATAAATAAGTTCCTCTCTAAGGTTATGCCTTGGAACGGGAACAATTATTTAATTCATTATAACCTAAGGTTATAAATTAATTTTCAAAACTTGCAACATAAGGTATACATCACTCTACCAACAGGATCTAGTCCAATATGGAAACAATTTCTGGTTTCTCAGGCCCTGCATTTGTATAATTTATCTATTATAACTTTTTTTAAGTGATACTACATTTTAAGTACTAATTAAAGCACATTATTAATGATCTCCCACATTTGAGTGCTTCCAAACTGCAGCTATAAATTTTTTTTAAAAAATATAAAAGCTTAATCAAATATAATTTAATATACAAGTATAAGTATAAGCACCTACACACTGAATAATAGTTACTAAAGATTCAATAATGAATTCACAGATCCCATAGACTTATCATCTTTATGCAAATAATTCTCAAATCAACTTATACAGCCCTAACCTCTCTGCTGACCTTCAGGCTCACATCTCTGTCTTTCAGACATGTCCAACTAAATGCCCAGTAGACATCTTAAATTCAACATATTCAAAATTGAAATCCTTATCTTAGCCCATAAACACTCCCCTACTTCCAAACTTCCCTATTTACTGTCAAAGGTATCACCATCCCAATACCCCAGACTCACAACCTAGGAATCTTCTCTAACTACTCACTATGTCTTACCATGCCAAGGACTGTAGATTTCACTTTTGCAATATCTCTCCAATACATTATCTTTTCTGTTCTGCTGGCCTATTGCAATAGGCTGGTTGGTCTACCTGCCTCAAGTCTCTTTCCACTCCAGTCTATCCTCCACTCAGCCACCAAAGTGGTTTTCCTAAAGAGCAGTTATGACCCATGTCACACACCCCTACTCAATAAACTCTAGTGGCTCATTCTTGCCTCCAATATCAAATCTAAAATCCTTTGTTTGGTATTTGAAGCTCCTTATAACCTAGCCCTCTCCTATCTTTCCAGTCTTCTTATTCCTACTTCCCATCATGTACTCATTGTTACAGTAATACTGACCTCTCAACTATTCCACTAACAAGACACTTATCTTTCAGCTCCAGACATTTTCTCTGGCTGTACCCCTCCATTCACCCTGCCCCCCCCCCCCCCCCCCGTGGCTCTAAATTCTAGTGCCTTGTCTTTGTTGATTATTTCCTATCTATCCAATGCATAGCTTGTTTGTATAGATTGGTTTGCTTATTGTCTCTTCCATTAGATTATGAATTCCTCAATGGGAAGGACAGTCTTCTGCCTCTCTTTGTATTCCCACTGCTTAATACAGTGACTGGCACATAGTAGGTGTTCAATAAGTGCTTATTGATTATTGACCTACTGGCAAATACTAACCTGCTCACTTGAAAGATCATCAGTATGAGGCAATCGCACACCCCAACTAATAGCTGAAGATGAATAGGGTGCATCAAAGTTAAGATGAACTATACTAAGAGGAAAACCTGTAGGACCATCCTAAAATAAAGTCAAATGAGATAATTTATAGCTTAAAGATAACATTTCTCTCAAACACTTATCACACACACACATCTAGACATGCCTACTGCCCCCCCATATACAAATCAAAGTACCTCATCATCGGAGTCTCCCAGTCTCCCAAAATCAAGTTGTGGCACACTAAAGGAAACAAAATATGATTAACAAAGTTGTGTGTCTGTGTGTGTGCATTTAACAGACGTATATTTGGAAATTGAATATACCCAGAATTCAAAGATGGATTGCTAACCAATGCCACACACCCACAATGACCCTACAAGCCTATCTCGTTCTGTCTTCTATATTTATAGGAGCCAGAATTCTAGGTTAAGGATTTGATTTCTATGGTCTAAGATACTTTTATTGATTAAGAAGAAATGTGATTCTCAGAGTGGAAAAAGATCACAGCTTAATGTCCTGAAAACTTACATCTGAGATCTAACAAATGTATCAACTTGGGTAAGTCACTTAGTTCTTCTGAGTTCAGTTTCCTCTTTTGATGGGAATATTTTCCTAATTCACAAGGTTATTATGAGAATCCAATGAGGTAATAAATGTTTAAGGAACATGTAAATTATAAAAACTTCATGCAAAAGTTATCATAACTCTTAATAGAATTTGTATACTTGAATTAAAAAAAAAACTTATAACTCCTAAATTTAGAAAAATAAAGGCTTGGCAAAATAATAGAACACAGGGGCAGCTAGGTGGCACAGTGGATAGAGCACCAGGCCTGGAATCAGGAGGACCTGAGTTCAAATCCAGCCTCAGACACATAACATTCACTAGCTGTGTGACTCTGGGCAAGTCACTTAACCTCAATTGCCTCACAAAAAAAAATAAATAATTGAACAGAAATCATAAGAATATATTGTGGGGGAGCTAAATATACATAAAGGGGTAATTATTTAAAAATTAAACTTCACAAAGCAATTAAATTTTTGTAGTCAGTGAAAAAACACTGGAAAAAAATCACCAGAATTCCTAGACCCAGAATGTTAGGGCCATAAAAGATCTTAAGAGATGATCAGTTCCATCCTTTTCATTTTATGAATAAAGAAACTGAGGCCCAGACATCACAGATCAAGTCTGTAGCAGAGGCAGAGCTTAAGACTAGGGCTCCTATCTCCCAGTATTAAGTTCTTTCCATTATGATGTGCTACTTCTATTCCAATTATTAAATTTATATACTTATAAGATTCTTATACTTAGACATAAAAACATTAAAAATGCAAATATTAAGAGTAAAAATACTTACTCAGAAGGACGTGGACTACGGTTTGCCCATGATCTGGGTCTCCATCCCTGTTTGTTTGTTTGTTTTTTTAAATTTAAGAATGAAAACACATATATATTTAGTCTGTTCTTCAAAATTTCTGTGCTTCAAAAAAAAAGTCAAATAATGCTCAACCTAGTAAATACAACTACTATGTGCCTAACTATATGTACATGCATATATGTGTGTGTGTATGACAATTTTTTTAATTTCAAAAAACTAGAAAAGTTATGCAAAATATTATATACTCATAGAACCAATGACTTGGCAAAACTGGGTTAGGTCTAGTTTCATAAAATTATATTTAAATATTCAAGATAGAAAATAAACAGCCCACCAGCTAATGCTGGTAGTATAGTTTATAAATGTTATGAGACACATTATTTCAGTGACAGAGGTACTTGACTAAAACACTTTCAAAAATTCCTTTAACCCAGTGAAATTATCAGCAAGACTGCTTTGTCTGAAAAATGTATTTCTGTCATTCTGATTGATTACTCAAATTCTTGAATTCAAATTAGGCTACGTATTAGCTATAACAGACTGAAAATTACCATAATCAGTCAAAAAGTTAGGAAAAAGTTATTAAAAATCATCAAGAGACTTTAATAGGAAAATAATATGCACATAATACACTTATACATATACACGTAAATATGTATATATATATATAGCCTATGATGTATATATAAAACCAATATATGTGAGTATATATACATGCATATATGATGTATCCTAAAATAATGTCAGTCTTTTATTACACAACAAAGACAATTCTTAATTACATTCTGATTACACTGTATTACAATCTATTTTAAAGAATTAAAATCAATCATGTATACAATCTCTGGTGTTACCTTTATGGGAATCAGTTTAACTAAAAAGCATATAACTCAAGAGCAGAAGCATCACATTTAATTCCTGAAATAAGAAAAGATAATTTGAAAACTATATGGGTAAAAGGTAAATGGAATGTACTTAATTGTTCACATACTGGAGTAATAGAAAGAACTAACATTTAGGAACTTAGGAGTTCAAAAGAAAGGCTTTTTATAAAGAGAAGTAATCATTTTCCTTTACTATGAAAGATGCAGATAGCTGGAATTTAATGCATGCTGAGATCCCTGAAAAGTACTCATATGCATCTTCCGGGCAATCTCGTTTATCACAGAAGTGTACAATGAACTACTTTAGGACAAACAAATAGAAGACACAGATGACCAGTAGAGGGACCTCCTAATCTTCAGTCTTTCCAAAATAAAAGGGTTCTGTCTGACCAATCAGGAATAAAAAGAATTGCCTCTAAGAATCCTTATTTCATATGATACATACACACAAATTATGTAATTTGAATGTCACATTCCCATTAAATTACAATCTTCTATAGAAAAGGTTGTATATATGGTAAGAATGAAATGATATTTGAATATTCACAATGAATTAACACTACAATTGTAGTTTAGTTTTTAATCTAAAGACAAGTATCTATAAACAAAAGATTAAAATATTCTAATTTCCAGGTCTTTGCTAGCAGACATCCCATTTAGTATATACATTTCTTGACAATCTGTCAAACTTCTCTTGAATTCTAATTCCTAGGATGGTACTTTTCTTCTAGTGGGCATTTAATCATTATTTGTTGAATGTCAACAAAGTCCAGAATCTTTTAAATTAGAATATTCTGAAAAGAAAATACATTCCTCATGCCTTATTAGGCAATTTAGAAATACCCTCCTTTCACTGGCCCTGGCTATGCTACTACCTTTCCTTATGGATGATAGGTCAATTTCATATTGGTGTCAGTTTTGAGGTAAAGTCCTGTAGACTGAAACCTCTGCTTTCCAATCCCGTCATTCCTGCCTCCCTTTAGGGGAAGAAATACCCCAAATATCTGTCTTTTATCCTAATCTCACCCTGCTTCAAATCAGGCAAACATGAATGGAAATCATAGGCCATATATTCTAGTAACTATCTAACAGCCAAATGGGAGAATTAGGCATTTTCTGAGTCTCCTAGACACTAGAACCCATGTCACTGTAGTACCGGGATGACCACATGCTAAGAGGCAAGAGAATTCCCCTCAATAGCTTCTGTCCAGGGACTCTTGTGGGGCACCCAATTAACTGTCATAATTGTAATGGGATAATTATAGTGGCAACCCCCACAGGACAGAATCATAATAATTTCACAATCAAGTTCAACCCAATATAGGGGCATCCCTGTAGGCTCATATGGTAGCAGAACTAAAAAACCAACGACTGTACGTTACCCATGAATCTGCCCACCGAAGGAGATCATTCCTTGAGGAATACAGCAAAAAAAATTACATAGCTTATCAAGCCTGAACCCAACAAATCCTCTCAACAGCACAATGGATCCATGTCCAAAATGGCCATGGAAACGAACATATTATGCAGGAATGAGCCCATCAGAGAAGTACCCACCTCCCTAAAGAAGAAGTCAAAGAAGTGAGAGCTAGTTGCTCTTCCTGCCAACTCTACTGCCACATAGAAAGGAGCCTTTACTCCTGGAGGCCAGCAAGATCTTGGTAAGTAGCTTATGTAGGATCTCTTCCATGACATCAAGACCTGTTGTCACCTAAGTTCTGGGGCATCAGGCAATAAGAGTGAAGCGGGGGAGGGAGCTTGGGGATGTCAATCTAGTAGAAATCAGTATGTGATGATAAAAAGGGATAAGTGGATCCCATGTGAGATAAAAGGCCAAGGTACCTGGGGGACATTGTGGATCCTGCATATGGGACAGTTCACCTTTAAGTTGGTAGGAAAAGAAGTGACTAGACCCAGAAAAGAGAATGTTAGTTTGTGAGATGAAGAACCCTGGACCCTGTCCTGGACCCTTACTTACTTTAATAAATAAATTTAATAAATTTTGAAAATTAAAAAGGCAAATAACAGAGAAAATGAAATGTAAAGGTAAGCTGCTCTCATATTCAAGTAGTTCCTTTTGAAGTTTTTAAAGAATATAAAACTTTTTTTTGGTGAGGCAATTGGAGTTAAGTGACTTGCCCAGAGTCACACAGCTAGTGAGTGTTATGTATCTGAGGTCAGATTTGAACTCAGGTCTCCTGACTCGAGGGCTTGTGTGCTATCCCCTGCTCCATCTAGCTGCCCCTGGAATAAAACTTTTAAGTATACTCATTTGTACCTAGTAAGGGAATTGAATATATAACTCACTGACATGTAAAAAGGCCAGGAAACCAGCTAAACCCCCTGCAGACTTGTCCCCAGAGCACAGAATGCTTCTGTATCATGAGGAGAGGCTTCAGAATTTTAAAATCTTATGAACCCTAACCTCAAAACTTTTAATGACTTTATGATGAATGGCCATTGCTGGTTATAATCTGGCTACAGAGATGAAGATTTGGGAAATGTACTAGATAGTCACCATAAATCAGGGTGAGGGCTCTCAGCCCTGGACTACAAAGTGCTGTTGAAGGCAATTTTCAAGGTCTCCTTTCCTACTTACTGCTTGCCAGGTGATAAAACACAGAGCTCAAGCCCTGTAGAAGAATTAAAGAGATTTCAAATCTGGCCTCAGACCAAACATTTGACACTTACTAGCTGTGTGACCCTGGGCAAGTCACTTAACCCCAATTGCCTTTAAAAAAAAAAAAAAAGAAAAGTTCAGCAGTATCCCAATTGAGTCTTTTAACAGAGCCTGGAGGTGCTAGAGAATAGAAACAAGTAGTGAGCCTGGCAGAATTTCCACAAAGCACTGAAATATTAGTAGCAAGCTGCCTTTGCCACAAATGTATCATTAGGGTGTGCCTCACTACTGCTTGATCTAAGTATGAACCCTAAGACATTGTATTTATTTGTGGGAGAACATTCCCCAGTTTTACAGAGAGAATGTTTTCTTCCTTATGTTTTTGCTATTCCATCTTATTAAAAGCTTATAATGTCTACTGGGTGTTTGTGTATGGGAAGTGTACTTGTAGACATTCCTGAGCTTTACAGTCTTAGAAGAGCAACCTCACAGTCTGGTGCTAGAACTATGAAATAGCCCTTCCCCCCAGGACCTAAGCTACCAATGTCAGTGCAGACTGTGGGAGAAGCTCAGTGGGGGTACCACAAAGGTATTTTAATAGTATTATACACTAAGAGTTGATAAATATGAGGAAGTCAGTGAAATGTGGGAAGATTTGTATAAACTTTTACAGAATCAAATATGTATTTTTGTATATTTATATACATATTTTTAAGTATGTGATTTCATAGAGGAATATGCTGCTTAAAATAAAAATCTTCCATGAATGTGTTAAAGTCATAAAATATTCCTTGAAGAATCCAGCAAAAATTGTTCAACAATCTTCTAACTGCTAATATCAAGCCAGTCATGAAACAGAGGCAGTTCATAGCTACCGTCATAGAGAATGTCCAGTATAGAGTGTAAATGAAAGAGGTAATTCCAATCCAGAAGCTCCTGTTTGTAGATGACATAATGTTGATTGCCTCAGATCCCAGAAAACTGCAAAGCCTTCTAAATAAGACTGATAATAATTTAAAAGAGGTCATCTATCCAAATAGGAAAAACTAAGTGGATGAAAAATGTCTATTACCCACATTATGATATGTATTTGGCTGGATGGCCTCTGAAATGGACCCCAGTTGATCAACTCTCTCTCTTTTTTGAGGGGGGGGGGGTGGAGGAAGGGCGAGGCAATTGGGGTTAAGTGACTTGCCCAGAGTCAGGCAGCTAGTGAGTGTTATGTGTCTGAGGCTAGATTTGAACTCAGGTCCTCCTGACCCCAGGGTCAGTGGTCTATCCACTGCACTACCTAGCTGCTCCTGGACCCACAATTGAACAAGATGGAAACAGTGGTTTACACAGCCTTTAAGAAAATGTGTATCACTTTTAATGACCTTACACTTCTCCCTGAGAAAAAGGCCCTTTTCTTTTAACAATAATATTCTCCCAGTGATATTCTGTGTCTGAAAGTCACAAAATACCACAACCTCCAAAGAATTAAAGTTGAGGTACCACCCAAAGGACAATGGAGAGGTGTATGATGAGTTTCTAAATGGTAAAACATTTTTAATGAAGAATTGTATAGGGAAAGCAGCATAAAGGATGTCATCAGATATGTATGAATGGAAAAGAAGGTGATCTGGTAATGTGGGGAGGGTCAGGGGAAAATAACAGACAGCCCATGCACTCCATTGGTATACATACAATGTGAAAAATTCTATAAGAACTAGAGGGAAATCATCTGTGAATGATTTATGGAAGGATATGGAACAAAGTCACACAGAATCAGAAGTCATGGACGGGTTGTGATTTGTGCCAATGGAAGGAGGACCCACATCAATGTATCTCCACGAAAATAAGATGAATTAGGGGCAGCCAGATGGCGCAGTAGATAGAGCACTGGCCCTGGAGTCAGGAAGACCTGAGTTCAAATCCAGCCTGACACTTACTTGCTGTGTGACCTTGGGCAAGTAACTTAACCCCATTGCCTAGCCAAAAAAAAAAAAAAAGAAAGAAAGAAAATAAGATGAACTGAGAATCACAGAATGTTATAGCTTGCGGGGACTCTTAAAAGGTCGTACAGTCAATTCTCCTTATTTTAAAAATAAGGAAAACTGGGGCCCAGGAAGATTAAGTGACTGATGTACTTTGCACATTAATAAATGTTTGTGGCAAAGTGAATTACCCAAGGACACACAATGATTTAGAGGCAAGTTTCCTAACCACAGTTATTTCTAAAATACTACAATTTAAATAATAAAAAACTGTTATGTAACAATTAAAAATAACATTTGAACCCTAAATTGTAGCCAACATACTTGCATATGCTTCTTGTTTCTGGAGACTTGCTGCGTTTGGCTCTTAGGGGAAGCAGAAACTCCTTTAATCTCTAAATTCATTTAAATGCAACTATATGTCCTGCAATATACTAAAAAAAAAAAGAAGAAGAATAGGCAAGGTAAAATACTATGTGAAACTCTGCATAAAAGAACTATGCAATTTATTACAATTGATACTAAAAGAAATCAGGAAAAGAATTAATACCATTCCTCCTTAAAATCTGTTCCCTGATTCACCTTTCCCATTTTCTTTCTCTTCACTGCCACTGAAATATATTCTTCCAGCTGTCTTTCCTAGAGCCTTTTAATACCCGTTTTTAAATTAAAACTTAAGGTTACGTTTTTCTGTTGGCGAAAATACATTTGTCTATATCTATGCTTAATTATTTAGTCCACCAGGGCAGATAAAAGAAGAAAAAATAATTACATTGAGCAGGGGGTGAGTAGAGAACATAAAATGGGAAAATATACTAAAAATTAATCCACTTTTGAGGACAAATTAATTTTTAAAATGGATCAGTGCCTGTACTACACAAGGTTTTGCAATTTTATTAAAGAGTTTTTGCCTCCTCTTATCTTGCCAAAAATGCATCTTTGTCCAAAAGTTCACTCCCCATTTAGTAATAGAAAGAGAACCTCGATTTGCTTGCATTTGCTTGACTTGGCATTCGGTATGTCCCAAGAACTGTTCTCACCCAAGATTTCCCACTTGGGTACCTTCCCATCCCCAATCTAACTGGCCTACATCTCTCTCTCCCATCCAATTCTTTTCCCAAAACCTTCAGAGGGACTATTGGTTCCACCTGTAAAGAGTAAGAGAAAAGCTTCTTGGGCTTGCCAGCAAGTGTATGACAGTAATAAATAGATGACCCCCAGGCCCCAGCCCTCCCCTAAGTCAGTACCTAGGTATCCTTCAACCAATACAAGACAAACATTTTTCTGAAAGTCACACACCCTTATTTTAGCTTATTATACTTAACCACCAAAACTGTTACAGCTCTGCCGCTGGTCCAAATATACTCAAATATACACTGGCGCTATTGTTGTTCATTCAGTTATGTCCAACTCTTCATGACCCCATGGACCATAGCATGTCAGGCCCTTCTATACTCTCAAAGTCCAGTCAGGTTCATGCTTGTTGTTTCCATGATACTATCTACCCATCTCACCCTCTGCCATCCTCCTTTCCTTTTGCTTTCAATCTTTCCCAACATCAGGGTCTTTTCTAATGACTTCCACCTTATCATTAATGTGGCCAAAATATTTAAGTTTCAGCTTCAGTGTTTAAACTTCCAGTGAATAGCCTGAATTAATTTATTTAAATATTGACTGATTTGATCTCCTTGCTGTCCAATGGACTCTCAAAAGTCCTCTCCAGCACCAAAATTCAAAAGCATGGATTCTGCAGCATGCAGTTTTCCTTATGGTCACACAGCCACCCATTGCTCCTGAAAAAAACCATAGTTTTGACTGTACTGACCTTTGTCACAAGGTGATGTCTCTGCTTTTTAGAATGTGTCTAAGTATATATTTGAATATATTTAGGCACCACCAGGAGCAATATTTGTAGTTGTTGCTGTTGTTTGAATACTGTTAATGGGAGGTTCAAAATTAAATCTTGGACACATTTTTTTTTTTTTACATTCCATAGGTAGTTCCAACTTTACAACACATATAGCACGTACCTTAGTCACAAACTAAGGCAGGCCATGGAGGGAGGGGAAAAAGGAAGGGCTGGGTGAAATAAGGAAATGTAAACATATCAGAGAAAACTAAAAAGCTATTCAAATGCAGTGTTCCAAAAAAAGCCACTTGGGCTAAAATTAGGCCAGAAACTCATCCAAGACATCTTTCCCAGTTCAGGACGGTTTGTAGTTTCCAAAAAGACCAGAGTCAATTCTCTCCTCTTCACGGGACGGGGTGGGGGGTGGAGGGGCGGCATTCAGATTGGTTATAATGCAGGATCTCTGGAATGCTCCCAGTCGATCCCAATGTCACCCTTCTCCCATCCCACACCATAACGAAACCATAGCCACGGTGGGGAGGGAGGCATAGGGGGTGAGAGGCTCCAAGACCCACCTGATGTCTTTGGGGCCGACTATGACCCAGTCCGGGGATGAATTGGAGCACAAGGGTATGAGGCTGAATGAGGCTGGTAAAAGACCCTTCTTTCTCTTCCTTCAGGAGTCTCACTTAAATAGAAAACTTCCTCTATGCCTGGCTCTAGGACTCCTGCAAAGCACAAAATCTCTGCAGTCCCGGGCATTAAGCAGTTTGGGGTCAACTCTTGGACGCTGGGGATCGAGCCTCCTTTGGTAGGCGTGCTGGCCAGCAGCAAAGCAGGCCTAGGAGTTACTTGGTTGCCTAGAAACATATGGACGCTTCCTCCCCTCGCGCTGCGTCGCCCTCACGCCCCGGCCCTGGCAGACGGGAGGGAATTGAAGGTCTTAGCTCCCTTTGCCTGCCTCTCTCTTCTCTCTTCTTGCACCACCCCTCCCTCCCCTACAAAGGCTCTGCTTCCGCCCCACTTCGGAAGAAAGTGGAAACGCCCACTCTGCTCCCCACTAGCAGGCAAGAGAACCTGAAAGGCCATGGCAACCCTACTTGATTAAGACCCTCTACATCTGCCCCCTCAGCTACCGTAGACCGGGTTTAAAGTGATCTACTCTGCAAGTAAGGCTATAGGACTCCGGAAGGGGACCCAGTACGCCTTGGGGGCCCTACACCTGTCGGCAAAGCGGGTGCTTCCTGCACCTTAGTACGCTGATTCTGAATCTCCAAGGTATTTAGGTTAAGATAAACTTTCTTGTCTCCGAAGATAGGTGACAGTGGATAGAGTACCGGGCCAAGTCACTTAACCCTGTTTGCCTCAGTTTCCTTATCTGTAAAATGAACTGGAGAAGGAAATAGCAAACCATTCCAGTATCTCTGCCAAGAAAATCCCAAATGGTGTCACAAAGGGTCAGACAGGACTGAAATAACTGAACAACAAACCTGAAAAGTCATCCAGTGCAATCTCTTCTGGCTACAAATAAAGAAAAACTAGGGCCCAGAGAGGTTAAGTGATTTACCTAGAGTCTCAAAGCAAGTTCTTGGCAACCAAATAAGTACAAACCTTATCTCAGCTCCTAATCCTCGGTTGTTCCACTACTACAACATGTTTGTCTTCTAATATTCTCGAGGAATAATTTGAATGCAACACTCCTTGAAAATATTAAATTTGACTGGGTAGAAAAACATGAGGATGGGGTGGAATGGTAGCGATGAAAGGCTGGAACAAGAAAATCTGTATTGTTTTCAGATAACTATGTCCTAAATTTAAAGGCTCCCCTAATGAATGGATCATGTGCAATTGCAAGTTGACAAGCAGTCAAAATACCAACATGGAGAGAATTAGAGGAACTTCGTTGTAAGGTTTCCTGCTCCCTTCCTTCTTGGGGCATAAAACCAATGGAAGACAAGCAGAAAATAGAATATAAAGAGGAATAATAAAAAGAATATAAAAAGGAAAATCATACTTGAAATTAAATGTGTAGCACCCATGCTGTGTTACCCCCAATTTGTACTCACCCTGGCAGGTTGTTTCTGAGTCCCCCAAGGGTGGCTACTGCATTGTTGGAAGGTTGCTCTATAAGTGTTCTTAAATTGGAATTTATAAGCCCTCACTAGGGAGCTTATCTTTCTGACCCAGATATGGGTCCTGAAACTGTTGCATTCAGTGAAGGAAGCTCGTATGCCTTGTTAGAAAGCAGGAGAACTGAACCTAGAAGCAATTCCTTTCCTGCCCAAAACTGCTATGGAGACTCTTAGGATACAGAATCAATCCACAGAACTAAAACATACTGACAGCCAACCTGACATTTCAGGCGTAAACACACAAATCTATAATGATACTGATAGTCAGCCCATACTCACTACCAGCTACTCTGGTATAGGGGCTAAGAGATTTGTCAGTGAGAGAATTAGGCCTATTAGTAGACACTATGCTAAGTTATGATGTTACCAGTAAATCTGAAGATCTGGACTCAGACACTGACTAGCTATGTGACTCCAGGCAAGTCACTTAATCCTGTTTACCTTGGTTTTCTCATCTGTAAAATGAGCTGGAAAAGGAAATGACAAACCACTACAGTATCTTTGCCAAGAAAACCTCAAATGGGGTCAAAAAGAGTCTGACATGACTAAAATGAAACAATATTGCTGAACTTGTGAATGTGTATGTCATGTATACGTGAGTATACTTGGTTTTTTGTTTGTTTTTTTGTTTTTCTGTTATGTTCATTTGGTTCTGTTTTGTGTTATGTTAGGGATGTAACAATGTCTATTCATTGTTTTGCATATATGCTAATATTTAGAGATAAGCTGGGCTTTATATATAGGCCAATTGGTAGTGTTATAGTTGCAGCTAGCTAGCTTTACTTCGTTAATTAGTCATGTTTATTACTTTTGAATGATTGATTGCTGGCTTTGATTATATGCCTTATTAGAAAGCAGGAGAACTGAACCTAGAAGCAATTCCTTTCCTGCCCAAAACTGCTGTAGAGACTCTTAGGGTACAAAATCAAGCCACAGAACTAAAAATACTGACAGCCAACCTGACATCTCAGGCATAAATGTGCGTTGTTATATTCTGTACGTAGTTAGGCATGTTATCACTGTAGTTTCCTCCCAGGCTGCTCTGTATAGTGCCTTGTCTACTGACTGTATTGTGTTTGTTTTATTTTCAATACTGAAGGTTGGTTACCTGGGATAGCATGAAAACCACCCTTGTTTTAAAGCGCTGGTGTTTGCATTGATACTGTATAGTTACAGGTTTTGGTCTTGCTCCAGCTGTTCCTCACAAGGTACCACAAAGAGTTTCAGACCAAGGAAGGAATGTAACCTGAGTCCCGAAGCCCATTGGTATGGGTATCTCTCCTCATTAGTGGAGATCAGTTCCATGAACCTGGGGATTCCTCTACTTTTAAACTATCAATAAGGCTATCTCCACCCAGAGGCAAGTCCACCCACTGTACCCAATCCTCAGCCCACTTTCTTTGCCCTTTCGTATGCCAGTGGGC